ATCCCAGTCACAGTTATGAATTATTTTCTGTGGCTGCCACAAAGATGGAATCCAGGGCCTTACTCATATATGGCAAATGCTCTACCACTGAGCTGTATTCTCAGCTCTTGTTTACTCAGTCTTGACTACCAGACACACTCATAATAACTGTTCTGCCCCATGTTTATCTGCATAGATCAGGTAAATCCTAGTGTACCTCAAATTCCTCCTTCACTAAAACTCAACTGCTTTTTGTGAACTGTAGTGTTGAACCAAGACTTCACCCCTATGAAGAGCAAAAGAAGCATTAGTCATTGTGGGTGCTTCAGAAGCACTATGAGAATCTCCTTTGGATCTACACTGTGTATTACTAGAATATTGTGTACCCATATGCATGTGTACCTGCACAGTGGCGATCAGATCTCGGCCTTACTCCTACTAAGCAAGTGCTTTGCCACTGGGCTACATACATTCCAGTGCGTTGTTTGTTCTACAAGGTTACAAATAATTTATCAAGATTTATAAGTTAAGCCAATTATTCTAGAAAAAGGATCCTTTCACTTTTATTGGGCAGAGATCTTAAGAGACTGGGGCAAACATATCAACGTCCATTTCCACTTTATCCGGTAGGTACGAGCTATTCACAGCTTCTGATGGGACCAGATAGGGAGCTGCTGAAAGGAGCAGGCTCAAGTCAGAGTTCTCAGCAAAGACTAAACTAATAAGACAAAGTGAGAAAAAAATTTTAAATGGGACTGTGAAGACAGGCTGTGGAATTCACTGGGTATCTCTCCTATACAGTGCCGGACTGGGCAGTTGTCATGAGTTTGGATTTGAGATCATATGGAGAGGATCACACATTAACTTACTCATAGTTCCTGGTAGTGACATGAAAAACCCTCTCCCCAAAGAACAAAATACCTGTTACCTGCTGTGGCCATCTCTGTCTCAAACTACTGGACTCCTATACCTTTGCCTCATCCTTGCCCTGGGTAGGTCCAATGTTCAGTATGGCCTCATGCAATCCAGGCTTGTGATCCTTGGATCCAAATGTAGGGTGTTGGCAGCTCCTGTAGGCATACACATCTGCCTTCTTCAAACCTTGATCTGTCCCTCCTCCGTTTTTTTGATGTAGATACCTTCCTTACCAGTGGCTTCTTTTCCCCTAAGCCTCATCTGGTTAACCCTTCAAATCCTGATTTTTTTTTTTTTTTTTTTTTTGGTACTCTGAATAGACCTTATGTCTCCAAACATTAACTTAGAACTGGAGTTTAGAGGCCTACTTTATTCAGCTTATATGAGCCTCAAAATTCCTGTCTACCAACCTTTGTTCATATGTTACCCATGATTCTGACTCCCACTAGTCACTTCCCAGTCATGGTTTCTTTAAGACCCTAACTAAAGCATGAAAGGGTGCATACAATCAGATAAACAGTGCCTTCCCAGGGCTGCTGTGTCTGTGTAACTGAGCATCCTCATGTACTTCCCTATAAATAAACTCACTGGCCCCGTCCATGCTTCAAGTCTACAGGGCAAGGGCCTATCAAAGGCTTTGCCCAGCTGTAGGTACATCCTAGGCAGGATGATTTGGAGAGGCCCTGACTGGTAGCTGTCAGACGGCTTTCCTGAGTTAGTAGCATCAGGAGGCTACCTGTACTGCTGGGGACATTTTTAGGTGGCATGTAGCCTCAGTGGCATTTTCTTCAGGTGAAGTCTTAACTATAAATGGAATGGAATCTGGTTGGGCTATGAAGGCTGAGCTGTGTGGTGGCAGGAGTGTTTTTTTCACTTATTGCTATATTTCCAGACCTCAGAAGAGTCAAATCCCATATTCATAGCTGCCCTTAAGGAACTCTTGCACTTGCACTTTTACCAAGTTTAGCACTCACTGAAGGGCTCCCCCACTTATGAGTCTTTAACAGATATACAATTTTTTAACAAATAAATGGAGGGAGTTGTTTTGTTTTGTTTTTTGTTTTTTAATATATGAAGGTAAGCCCAAAGTCATTCTTGGAGACTTTGTCTTACAAGGTGAACTCTAACCTCATGGGTGCTGTCATACCCTTATCAACTGCTCCATTTAGTAAGACTACTCAAAGAATTACCCCAGGTAGTTAAAACCTAAAAGGGTCTTTACCATGTGAGGCTGAGTTAGAAGAAGAAAGACATCAAGAGGTTAAGTGCCTTCGCATCTAAGGATGTAGTTGTAGGCAGAGTGCTTGTCCATGGGTAGGAAGCCCTGGGTCCAATCCCCAGCACAGCACAAAATGGGCACGATTGTTTACACCTCTGATCCCAGCACTTGGAAGTTGGAGGATCAGAAGTGGGAGTTTGAGGCCAGCCTGAGACACACGAGACCCTGAAAGTAATGAGAAGGAGGGAGGGAGGGAAAGAGACCCCCCAAAAAACAGTCTGACAGAGTTCTGTCATGCTAAAGAGAATTTTTCAAAGCTCACGTGGAATCAAACAGTATGGAGGAAGAACAAATCAAAAGGGTGCAGGGAAAGGAAGGAGGAGATGTGGTCAGTTTGGACACACAGTAACTCGGACTCACCAATGTGTGGTGTCACAAAAAGGAAAAATCAGAGCACTCCCCTTGGTGTCATTTAACCAAGAGTGAGCCCGGATTTGAATTGTCTATTTCATGTTCCCTGTGTCTTCTGTCCTTGTCCTGTGTGTCTGTCCTATCAGTTTGAATCTGCCTGCCTGAGACTGTCTTGTAAATCTATCCCTGTGTGTTCATCCCTCACAAAAGGCTTTGCTCTTTATTGAGTAGCACAGAAGGCATCACATGGGGGAAGGACTTCGTGACACGTGACAGCAATCTTTAACGGAGTTCTACAAGGGACCAAGTCACAGACTCCAGTTAACCCCAACTGACCCACATGACAGTATTTCAAACACTATTGTTTATCAAGCAATATTTAAATGTTGTGTTCAACATTTATGGTGGATATTCATTTTAGAAGATTGCTTTCAACTTCTGTATTTGCTGTTTTCAGCAAATGACACACAGGCATTACTCTGGGTCAATGATATGAAGAAGTATGTAACTTAAGATTATTAGCTGTGCTGGAGAGATGGCTCAGTGGTTAAGAGCACTGGCTGCTCTTCCAGAGGACCCGGGTTCAATTCCCAGCACCCACATGGCAGCTTACAACTGTATCTCTGGTTCCAGGGGATCTGACACCCTCATACCAATGCACATAAAATAAAGTTAAGTCAATTATTTGGAAAAAGAAAAATGATTATAGCTTTGCATTGGGAATTCCAAGGGCAAGTAAGGGTGACTGTTAACATTGTTCTCTTAAAGGCAGGTTAAACAAACATTTGAGTACACAGTAGGATAGCAGTCTTAAGTCATAAGTGACCTCAGGGTATACTAACTCTGGCCATGAGGTCCATGAGAAGTTCCAGTCCGGTCCTCAGAATGTATATTTTTTTAATATTGCATCACCATGAAAGGGCTGAGGACTAATGTTAAATATTATTTATTAAAACAATGCCTACTGGTACATACAGAAAATGGACTGATGAAATGGAACAGAGCCTAGATAAAGAGCTAAGTCCACAAAGATACTAGAGATCTGTCTTATCTACATGTAGCCTCAAACTAGTCATGGAAAAGATGGGCTGTTCAGAACAACCAGGTTATCCTCTAGGGAAGATAAGGGTGGTTTCTTAACCTGTATTTTGTCCTAGGATCCATCCCAAAGGATCAGAATTTAAAAAGCAAAACCATCAATGAAAATCAGAAAAACAAATACTGGTGGATTAACTGTCTTGGTCTGAAGTGAGGAAGACATTCTATGAGTTAATACAGAAATCACCAAAGAACTAGTAAATCAGACCATACAACAGCATGATAAAACCATTAGAGCAAAGCCAAAAAACCAATTGGAAGAATATGCCACTCCTCACACTTACGGATTCATCCTTCTAACAGGTGAGGTTCTAATTGCCATGTGGTAAAAGTGGACAAAGTTCAAGAAACTCCTTCCTGTATTAAAAGTTGTTCATTTTATATAGTTAGGCAACAAATGAATATTTTAAATTTATATTCTATCAGAACATCTGAGTCTAGCATTTGAATGCCGTCTCTGATGGTGATGTGGGTGAGCAAGCACTGTCCATCTGAAGATGGTATGTGAACTGGAGGGCAGCGTCCGAGTCAGTGCCTTTCCAAACTCTGTGTGTGTAGTCTTGCACTTTTGAATACTTACTGTAGAGATGTACGTATACAAACATGTAATGACATGTGGACAAGGTCTAGAAACCACCCAAATGCCTGAGAATGGTACTGCTCAACTAAATAATGACAGCCACAGTAAGGATACCAAGCAACCACTAAAGTGAAAAAGCTATCTGGTGATATGTGGCCATTGAATATTAGGTGATAAAAAGCAGATGGTGTGTATGTGATGTCACTCCAAGTAAAGACAGAGAGAAAGAAGGCTTTATATTTGTATATGCTGGCATATTTAAAAAAAAAAAAGTGTGGATGGAAATAGAAAAGCCAAGGAGGGAGGCATGTGTGTGTACTGTGGCATTGTATTTTTGGTATAAAATGTGTTTTTAATCATATGAATGTACCACCTATTCAGAAAGTTAAATAAAGCAAGCATTTTTTTTTAAAGCCTATGGCTCAATACAAATCAAAAAACACCAAAGTCCCTACAGTTTGATTGAGTGGTAACAGGCCATTACAAAAATGCCACAAATGGCCCGATTATCAGTAGAGGCTCTTGAGCCCTGGGTTCTGGTGGCATGAGTTGTGACTATGGCTGAGTCTCAGAACTCATCTGTTTTCATGCTTCAGGAAATAACTGTACTTCCCACCTAGTGTGCTGGTGACAGGCTGTTGCATGTGGAGCCCTCAGCATAGGCTGCCAATACCTGCCATTCGTACTACAAGAAGAGTCCCCCTCAGACCATGCAGACGGTGTATTTTCTCCTTGATTCATAAGTTAGAATCACATTCTCTTGAAATGGAGGAAAAAAAAAACCAAAGCAACAAAAGATTGCAGAAACATGTACTTTAATTCATGGTCTAGATTTTGGTGGGTACAACAGTGAATTATTTGGAATTCTGCTCAGAAAACTCAAAGCTGCACCTGTAGATGTTATTTCAAATAAAGGACATGTGGATTTCTGTGTTTGGCTTGTACCAAGGAGTTTCCATGACACTGTGTACCTGGTCTGAGCCTTTTGGTGACTAGCTATGGCTTCTGCGGGAACTTCAATCTGCAGACTGCTGAGAGGCCTACTGTGAACTGTTTCCAGATGTCCAGCTGAAGGCAATGCTGTGAAGACCAGCACAGCTGTCCTTCCTTACATACCTAGGCAGAGTCGAGAAACACGGCACAGCGTTTCACACGGACAGTACAGGAGCCCAACATTTGACCTGTCAAGTTTCAAAACTGAGATCTTGTTTTGGCTGATCCTCCACATAATCCAATACCGAATACTGAACATTGACCATTTTAGTATGTATAATCTGTCTAAAACAGATACCATTAAAGGAAAGCCAATGTAGTCCACCAGGAGAAAACACTTCCTCCTCTTCATGTTGATTTCGTCATCAGGTCTAATTATTTCCGTCAGTTTTGCTGTCAGATGCTAGATTTTTGCAGTAGGTGATGAGACGCAGATAGACAGCATCTGTTGCTCAGCTGTCAATCACTCTCAGCTAAACCGTGCTCCCCCTGGCTCTGGTAACAGAACTGGCTGACAGCCTCCCGAGGACCAGACTCATCACCAGGGCCAGCCTACAATCTCCACAGTCCTCAGACGGCAGAAATGTAGGCCACGCACACAATCCTAATGTAAGTAAAAGTTATCCAACAAATATCAACTTCAAAATACTTGCCTTACTGAGGAAATTCAGTAAAGCCTTGAGTATATTTTAACTTAAACACATCTTTTCAATTCCCTAGAACACTCTAATACTACTGTGTGTCCTAAGCTTGAAGCAAACCATAGTTAAGAAAAATTCAAGTGGAAACTAAGATTTTTTTTCCCTCAAGCAAATAGTTTAAAACAATAGCATCTAACTGCAGTATTGGTAAGTGACATTACCAAAATGACCTCTGCATTTAAAATAAAAATAGACAAAGTGCAAAATTTTCACATTTCCTTACATTCTAAATGGACACTACAGAACACTTCTTACTGATGTACTGGCAAGGTCACTGGTACACTGGTATTCATTTTGTAGACTTTTTGTCTTACAGTGGCCCACTCCCATCACCTGGTAACACAACTCTAAAAGTAAAAAGCAAAGAAAAAGGAAAACTGGAAGCCAGCTTAAAAGAAAAATCAACCTATAAAATTCCCCACTATCAACAAAACATGAAGTTTATAAAGGTTAGAAATTAGGAGGGAAGTAACTAGTGAGGCCCCAGTCCCCAGTCACACCTCCACAGTGGATGACGAAGCATCAAGAGGAACGAGCAACTCAATCTGCACACACCGTGAAGTCACAAGGAACACAGTCCAGACTTTGGCAGATAAAATGTGGGTAAGAGCACTTACTGTTTACTTCAGCAAGATGGAATCTAAGGAGAAGAGACTTTGGACTCGAATTACTTCCACATAGATAAAAACCTTTCAAGTAATCCCATTATCCACTGCCACCTTTAAAAGAACCAAGATTTAAAACATTTAAAGACTTTAAATTCCAGGTTTAGAAAATGACAGTCTAGGGCCTTTAAGTCCTCTACTGTCTTAAGTCACACCAAGGACGACTGATCTGGAATTAATGGAAGGTGGGGGTTGGGAGGAATGGGTGGTGGTGGTGGTGGTGGTGGTGGTGGTGGTGGTGGTGGTGGTGACACTCCTGCCGAAGCATCTCACCAGAAAGAATCACACAAAGAGGTAGAGGATTGCATAGATTGTGTTCAAAATCAAACATTGAAAATGCTTACTTTAAAACAGCAAAATTTGTGTATAATGCAAGTAGCATTATAAACCCATAGGATCCCATTCAAATTTTATGAATAAACAATCCATTAAATAAATAGGGCTTTTCATAAAATAACTGAAAATGTTTATAATTAGGAGAGGAACAAAGAAGTCAGAAGAAGGGGAGCTGTAGGCTTTAGGTAAAGGACACTCCACTCTTGAGCCAGCCCGGTGTACACAGGACATCTGGCCAAGTGAGCATGGGAGGACACTTACCCACCTTCACCAAGGCAGGACCCTTTAGGCCAAAACCAAAGCAGCAACAGCAACTAAACATCTTAAAATGGTTGAAGTCCTGGGAAGTCATCCAGAACCTCTCACTAGTCATTGAAAGGCCTAGTCATTAGAGTGACAGCCCTGTGTTACAGAAGATGACACACAGTGTTAGGCAAGGCTAAGACACTAACTACAGCATTGACAAATTTGTCACTGAGACCAGCCCTAGGCAGCACTGGTTCCCTAGTTCTTTTTCTATAACAGACTGAATAGTCTTCTCAGGATAGACACAGTCATTTCAAGTTTGACGACTAGGAATGAAGGGTAATACAATACAAATAAAACCAATGTGAAACAAACATGGGATTAGTATAACTTACAATTTTAAAGTATATACTTCATTTATAAATATCTCTAATTGATAGTCTATTAAGGATCATAAATATTCAAGTGAACATTTGAGTTTTCTCTTTAAGAGTTCAGAATTCTTGAAGTCTTAGACACTTAGTCTCTCTCCTCAATGTCCAAGGCTAAAAGGCTTCACACAGTCCATTATGTCTACAGAGACAGAAAAGTCTTCATTACCTCCTGTGATGTAATAATGCTTTAAAGTTCTGTAATTCTCTTATGCTTGTCGAAAGCCTACAGAAGGAAAACAAGTGCATGTTAGTACCTACAGCTGGCGGGATGTGCACACATTTCATAGTTCATTCTGGATCCTTGAGCTCTAGAAACTGGAAGCAAAATCTAAAAGAACCCAACACTGAACATTGAGAATTCCATTTTAAATAGATATGCTGTAACTCTATTAAAAGTGACAATAGATCATGGGGCTTTGGTTCTTTGGGCTTGCTTAGAAGGCCAAAATGCAGCCAATTCATCTTCACATCAAGACTACAGATGAGAACCAGGTGTGGTGGTGCACGCCCTTAATCCCAGTATTCAGGAGGCTGAGGCAAATGGATCTGAGTTCAGAGGCAGCCTGCTCTACAAGGTGATTTTCAGGACTGCCAGGGATACACCAGGAAAACCCTGTCTTGAAAACAAAACAATAACAAAAAGACTGTAGATGAGTCATAGAAACTGCTATGAAAGGTTCAAAAATATTTGTTGTCTCCTACACAGTCCCTCCCAACTCCTAGTACCTATCTACATTTATGGTATTGTGTAAGGGATTATTGGCTCAATGAATAAATAAAGAGCTCAAACCCAGAAATAAAATTCTGAGATGGGAAGAAATGAAAAAACCTACAAGTTCACTTTTCCCTTATGTACAAAATTCATGGTTAATGAAACAAAATTCCAGTATTTCTCTTCTATAGCCTAGTGATACATTGTATACTGCTAAATACTTTTTCATTACCCCAGTACTTAAGACTTCCTGTTTATTGAGGTTCCAGGCAATGATCTGAGCCTGTCAAGTGTACATACTCAATTAACTTAAAGAATGCAACAACAAAAGGTAGCTAGGACTTTGCTTTTACATTTTAGGTAAAATCAGGCTCAAATAATTGGCTCTCATAATCTCATAGGGAGTGGCACTATTGTTGGAATAGGTATGGTCTTGTTGGAGGAAGTGTGTCACTTTGGGGGTGAGCTTTGAGGTTTCCTATGATACTACCCAGTGTCTCAGTCAACTTCCTGTTGTCTGCAAGATGTAGCACTCTCAGCTCCAGCACCACATCTGCCTGCACGCTGCCATGTTCCCCACCATGGTAGTGGACTAAACCTCTGAAACTGCAAGCAAGCCACCCTCAGTTAAATGTTTTCCTTTGTAAGAGTTGCCGTGGTCATGGGTGTCTCTTCACAGCAATAAAAACCCTAAGATACCCAGCTAACAGGTGGGTTCTGAATAGAAAGCCAAGGTTTGCTGAGATATACTGTTGGCAAATGGCAGGCCAGGATCCCAGGACTCCAGAACCTGTTTCCTGGCCAGCACCCACTACAGGGAGAACAGGCTCTAGACAGAATTGAAGCTAGAAGGAGACGTTTCTGAGAGCCAGTGAAATTTTGATGAAATATTCAGTTTAATTTTTTCTTTCTCAATTTAATTTTGTTTGAGCTTAAAATGTTTAAGTTATTGGAGATCTTTTTCATTTCAAATAATTTACATTTCACCTAGTTTCTTATGTTAATTTTCTTCAGATCTCAAAAATGTGTAGGCTGAATGTTTCCTGAGATGTAAAACACCATCAGCCACTACCTTGTGGGTTATATCTCAATTAGCACAGACATCACATACAGAGAAGAGCAGGGCACAGCAGCTCACACCTAAGCACCAGGGGCTGAGATAGATCACTGAGCTCCAGGTCAGCTTGTATGAGAGTAAAAATCCTGCCTAGGTAAAAATAAATATGTGGAGGAAGTAGGTGAAGGCTTGGCATTAAGATGAGACATATCTAAGTTATCTGCTGTGGGATGGTCTGTATGTCAAATCTGTCGCTCTGATTGGTCAATAAATAAAACACTGATTGGCCAGTGGCCAGGCAGGAGGAAGTATAGGCGGGACAAGGAGGAGAAGAATTCTGGGAAGTGGAAGGCTGAGTCAGAGAAACTGCCAGCCACCACCATGACAAGCCGCATGTGCACGGGTAAGCCACAAGCCACGTGGCAAGGTATAGATTTATGGAAATGGATTAATTTAAGTTATAAGAACAGTTAGCAAGAAGCCTGCCACGGCCATACAGTTTGTAAGCAATATAAGTCTCTAAGTCTCTGTGTTTACTTGGTTGGGTCTGAGCGGCTGTGGGACTGGCGGGTGACAGAGATTTGTCCTAACTGTGGGCAAGGCAGGAAAACTCTAGCTACAGTTATCTTTAAGTGACTGGTCTCCTTTGAACTTAAAATCACACTCATAAAACATACACAATCTCTGTCACTTGGTTCCAGTTTAAAAATAAACTTTCTCCCATAATTTGACTTACTTTGCCCTGTTACAACACAGCTTTATTTTCTATGATTCTTTTACTTCTGCTTTATAACCCTCATCACTGCATAAATCTCTCTGTAGGCAAATTCAAATTATTTTTAAAACAATTTCTGATATAAGAAGCAAAGTGTGTGTGTGTTTGTATACTTTTCTGATGTGATATATACAATATATATCACAGAAAGAAATGGGGTAGGGATGTATGGGAGAGGACTCCTCAGCTTAGGCAATGCAGAGTAGAGAAAGTGTCATGTCTTTGATTACCTTCTTGATCACATTTTCCTTCTGTCTACTACTGTACTCCAGCAGGCAGTAGCCAGCTAAAGAAAAGAATATTAGGAGACTATTTCCCTCATGAAATTGAGAAGTCAAACTGAAAGGTACTGGTACTAGAAATGATCAGTTCTTCCCGATACTGACAGAGAACTGGCTGTCAACCTGGAGGCCACACTGAGCAATGAATATAAGTTGGGTTTGTTTTGTTTTGCTCTGTTTTTGAGACAGGCTCTTTACTACATAGGCCAGGTTGGCTCTGAACTCATGATCTGCCTTCCTCAGCTTCTCAAGCTGGGGCTATGAGTGTGTGCCACCACACCCATCATTTTATCTTTATTTAGCAAACCAAAAAGCATACCTTTGGGGGAAAAGACAGTCTTTGCAGTATATTGAAGAAACCTGTGGGAGAGTCAGGTCTCAGCTGTAGGTGCAATTCTTACCTTGCAAAAGCATTTAAAAGAGCAACTATTTCTTGCCGAGTAAGCTGGAAACCTTTAGATGGACTGTTCTCCGGAAGTTTTTGGATTTCTTTTTCAGAGAAGAGTATCTTCAAGGCAGTTCCTAAACCCTGAGTCTAAAGAAAATATTCATAAACTTACAGTTAACTTTACACAATAGCTACTATGAAGAACCCGTCGGTAAGGACACTGAGAACCCCATGAAGGAGGTGAGAGATGGCTCAGCAGCTAGGAATGCTTGCTGCTCTTCATCCAGTGGCTCATCACCACCTGTAATTCCAGCTCCAGGGAATCTGACACCCTCTAATAGACGGATGGACAGACGGAGGAATGGACACACACACACACCCCCAAAACAGAAATAATCTCTTCTTTAAATCCAATGAATTGAGCTTTATAACACAGTGCTGGACTATGCAAGAAGCAGTGTCTATCCCCTCACAGGCCACACACACATAAACACAACACTGCTCAGGAAAACTTGAGCAACCTGATGCTTGTTGAACATGTTTCTGTTCCAGGTTGCCAAAATGCCTGCTTTTATCATCAGAACCACAGCATTTGACTTGTAATCTTGAAAGCACATTTTTTGTTTGTAGTGCTAAGGGATCAAACCCTGCTCTACTTCAGCTCTATACCGCAGACCCACTAAACACAGCTGCTACACTTCCACCCCTTAGCAATTCAAAGTTCCAGGAGTACTGCAAGGTGACCTACACTAAGTTATTTCTCAGCACTAGAGGAAAATTTGATTTCAGCACAGCTGCCTTTAAAATAATCCTATCTCACTAGCACTGTACAATCCCAGCTGATGCAGAAAGATCACAAATTTGATGCCTCAAGTACAAAGCAAGACCCTGTCTTTAAAAAAAAGGGGGGGGGGAATACCCACACAAACAAAAATTAATTTTGTCTTCTGATTTTCTGTATTTATCATCACCTTTGGAAGAAAATCAAATAATCCTCTGTATACTGAAGATTAAGGTCTGCCCTACAGAACATTTGCATTTTGTGCTAAGCAGCCTTTTACCATTGAAACAAACCATGTCCAAAATTTGATGTTTAATTTATATATAAATTAAATATAATTTAATGTGTTTTAGTGTGTGTGTGTGTGTGTGTGTGTGTGTGTGTGTGTATAATTCTCTATCTATAACTAACTTTAAAAATGAATCTAAGATGGTACCAAGACACAGAACACAAAGATGTCCTTGTTCATGGACCTCCAGCACAGCTTAGTAGCATTTATCTTTCAATAACAATATAGAAAAGCCACACTTGGATCTGCTTGTTTCCAAACACAAATTCATTGAACAACAAATCTTGCTAAAACTAAAGTAAGCAGCTGGGTTGTGGTGGTGCACAACTTTAGTCCCAGTACTTGGGAGGCAGAGCCAGGTGGATTTTTGTTAGTTCAAGGCCAGCCTGGTCTACACAGCTGATTCCAGGATAGCCAGGGCTTACATGGAGAAACCCTATCTCGAAAAACTAAAAACTAAAGCAAGCAGAAAAATGTTCGGCTATGAACAGTTTGAAAAGGAAGATCACACACACCTGCAATTTCCCCCACAATCTGCACTTATCACATCCGACACAGTCCATGATACGTGAGATGTTCTTGAAATGTAACCGGAATTCCTCCTAGTATGCAGAAAATACCAGAATTAGCCCTTTGAGATTAAGCTACATTTGGTTGAATCACATATATAAAATAAAGGTTTGAAGTTTACAAGTGATTAAGTTGTTTTCAGCAGTAAAAGATCTGACTTTGTATACACAACATAGTATATTAAAACAACAGACATTAATAGGAGCTAATATTCATGGTGCATATTCAACACAATTTACTGAGGAGGCACTTTAATGAAGGGCTGGAAAGTTAACAGTATAAGGCCTTTACTTGTAAGAACTGAGCTGTTGCTAACATCAAATAGCTTCTTAAATCTAGTTTGTCAGGGTATTTTCTCACAGCCACAGAAAAAGTAACTAATGCAAAACATAACTCAGAATGTTGGCCCTAGAACAGATCCAGTTGTAAATCACTCAGTGCCACGCTGTGACAGAGATACTCAACAACCAATGATCTCAATTTATAGCAAACTCTATCAGACTAACATCAGAATGTTGGACAACTGGAGAAGTTCGGATGAATAGGAAGAAAACACAACAAATGCTCCCACAATGCCCCTGTTACCTTTAAAGACTTGGCCCCCTTTTTGTCACCTGCAAACATGGACTTCTCATCAAAGTGCATGGGGAAGGACCTGAAATGACAAGGCCAATTAGCAAGTTACCAATGAAAAGTCCAAGTGCTTGCCTTAGAGCTCTGCTAGAATTCTGTAGCCCTACAAATACTTAAAATCTGCTATTTATAATGTAGGAAGGGACAGTTCACATATGCACTAATAAGAATACAGCAAGCTACATATGACTCTGTAATTTGTAAGACTGCAATATCTTAAGGAAATTAATAAAATTATTTAAAAGTGAAACACAATCTCCAAGTATGCCAACACTCAATATTCCTATATACTTTAATATGTAGTTTACTTCAGGTCCTTCTCCATCTACCTTTTCCTTCACGCTTGTCTTAGCACTAGTGAACGTGTTTTACAGACTGGATGATTTAAAAGGCTATGTTCTGGAGGGAGCTAGTAACATCTTGTATGTTCACTGTAATGCTTTTACAATTACGATTCTATGCAAGTTTAGACAGTAAGTGAAAGAAGACCAAACTGGTAGAGCATTTTGATGCTACATAAAATCTTCAGTTCTTTATTAAAATATACATGGCCTGTTTTCAAGCATCAACACTTCTGCAGGCAAACTTGAGGGAGGCTTTTTACTCAGCACCTGAAGAATTACGGCGGTAATATTGCTCCCATGTTCCTCGGCTCTGCACCTCTTTTTTCTAATGTTTGGAGGATTCCTGGACACTGAAAACCAAGTCTTACTTTGTGTCCTGAAAGATGCTGAGCAGAAGGGTCTTGGTGTCGGCATCTTCTTCCAAGTTGCCAGTGTAAAGATCAACAATTGAGCGCTCAAAATAAGGGGCCACCTTTGACAAAGCACGAAGCTCAATCAAGTATAAAAAGTACAGATTTTTCAACCTTCTTGGACCCTCCCCCTTTGTTTCCACAGGGTCAAAGCGGCGTTTAAATTCTTTGATGTTAGGTCCCCAACTAGGTTTGCCCCAGTTTTCTGAAAAGAAAGAGAAACACATTGTCTTTTAGTATAGAAAGTATTTTTTTTTGTTTTGCTCTGCAGAATATGTATTTTACAGTATCTTACAAGTAAATCCAACACTTTTTACAGTATCTTACAAGTAAAACAGTAAGATACTTTCCATTTAAGAAATCTGATTACCTTCCAGAAGATAATTTGCACACAGATGTAAATTGATGCTGGCATGAAGTCCTGATATAAGCTTGTAGAAGACTCTTTTCTCAAGACACAAACCTATTCAGAAAAATATGGAAAAAGAACCCATGCCCATTATGTACAGAATATTTAATCAAAAAAATCAGTACATGGGTTTCAGTTAATATTCAGGTTATGGCTGGAATATGCGGTGTCCCTACAGGCTTAGGTTTAGGATGCTTGTTGCTCTGGTGGGGCCTAGCTAGAGGAAATACAGCAGTGAGGGCAGGGCCTGAGGGGCGTTATTATTCATGCCTACTTCCTGTCACTCTCTGGTTCTGATCTGCAGTACAGCTGTGCTCTGCCACACATTCCCTGTCATGATGTTCTTTTCATGTGCTCAGGGCCAAAGAGCCATGGAGTGAACCCTCTGAAACTCTGAGCAACATAAACCTTTCTGTAGGTAAAAAGTTTCTGTCAGCTATGTTGGTCTCTTGACATAAAAGTAACTAACACAGACATCAGAAAAACAAATTCAGAGATAATATACAATCAGATGGAGATTTTCACTAGAAAACAGTAAGATTCTTGTTTCAGAATGGACTTAACTGAGTATAATGAAAAGTTAACATAGAACAAGACAGAAAGGCCTGACCCCTTGAAGGTGGCCCAGCCACTACTGGATGCAACTGCAAAGTTCCTAGGCTACCCAGAAAGCAGTTAGTTGCACAGGTTGTAGTTTAGACTAAGAATGTACTAAACACAACTATAACAATAAAGAAATTGCTTGTCTTAGCAATAGCTGTGCCTTCCCATACCTTCCCTCTGTGTTCTTTCTTTGAATCTACTTTGTGGTGGAAAAAGAAGGGCCTTTTGCCCTGTGATGTTCTATCTAATGATGTATCACTCTATTTACAAGGAGAGATAAAACCTAGAAAAAGACCCCAGGAATGTTAACACACACCAACATAATCCCACAATCCTACCTATCACTGCTACCCTGTAAGATTTTCTCTTATAGTAACATATATTGTAAGTGCACTTAGTGCCACCAAATAGTAATCTTAAGAATGGATAAGATTGAGCTGGAGTGAGGCTCAGTAGCCGAGAATATTCTTAGAATGCACATGACCCTGAATTCAACTCTTAGCACTAAAGTAAAAAAATAAATAAAACCTCAAGGCTAACGTGGCCATTTACACTGTATTTGTTATGCCACAATAAAAAAGAAAATTTTTTGATGAATATTCTTTATAGAAATTTAAAAAATGAATGAAAATCAGAATAAGAGATGTAAATTATGATTTACTTTTCTGTGCATGAATGTTTGTTTGCATGTATGTATGTGTTCTATGTGCATGTGTAGTGCCTATGGAAGTCAGAATAGGGCACTGGATCCCAGGGACCTGGAGTTACAGATGGTTGTGAGCTGTCATGTGGGTGCTAGGAACCAAATTCAAGTCCTCTGCAAAAACCACAGAATCATCTCTCATGTCCTCTGAATAGAAAAGTTTAAGAATCCACAAGATGCAGCTTTTCTTTACCACTCAACAGGTTTTGTTTTTCTTTTTTAATACCCTTCCTACTGGGGAAAATGTGACATTAGTGTACAATCTCATTTATGTGCCAGGAGAATTTTCTTACTATAAGAGCATCTCCTTGGCATACTGCTGCATCTTCTCAAGGGCTCTCAGATCATTAGTTTATGCTGTATCTTACCACAGATGGTTCTGAAGCAAACACCCTCACAATAGGGAAAACAATTCTTCTGAGATCTCATTCTCTAATTCACAATGTTATAGAGACCAAAACAGAGAGATTAAAATGTATTTTGTAGCTTCCTCCAGATAGCATATAGCCAATTTTAAATGTTAAAAATGTTTTAAAATATTAAGTACTAACATCAAGAAAAATTTCCATCAAATACCTAGTCAAGAAGCAAATGGTCAAATTTGAGGTTCAATTTCTATTCCTTCTAACCTACCCATACAGAAAATGCTTCTGCCTTACAAAATGGTCAATGTCTAGAGAAGCGACAGCAAGAAAAGCAAAGATCATGAAAATTCACAAGCCTAAAAACCAGAGCCTGGAAACCCAAGAGGAGTTCACAGAGCCTGTAAGTGAGGAAGGGGGAGCAGAAACATGCTTCTGTGAACTGGGTGACCTCAAGCAAAATGCTGACATCAAAGAATGCACCAATAAGACAACACTGGGTGGAGATGCTGGAGACCTGTAGGCCCAGCCTGGTGCCAGATGGCAGGGGCTATGCCTGCAGAGAACAGGCAAAAGCTTCCACCTCCTGCTCTGAAGTAACACAAAAAGCTATCCTACAAAGGCAATTCCACCAACTTCTAGTTCTTATGATATATAGCAAGTTTGACTAGACAATTTAGGGAGATCTCTTCTAGATTTAATAGCATTCAAATTCATTTTCAACAGTGGGTTTAGGGGACACTGAAGATATATGAACATGTTTCTCATAAGAATGCTAGATTTTTTACTGTCACAGAACTGTTCTGCATTTGAATATCTCTTGGCTGTTTTCAAGGAATTCTGACTGGTATCATCTCCACCTCCAGGTGAGGAAACAATTTCAGAAGAGACTAAGCCAGTTGCCAGTAACTAGACGTGCTCTCTGGAACCACATGCTCACATTCAGCGACTCCAAGGAGCAGGGTGCTGTTAGAGTAGTTGATACACAGTGCCTAAGGTCAAACACTGACCGATTCTGTTCTCTTCCTCTATAATCAACATTCAAGGGTCTATCTGAGTCTCAACCAGGAGGGTCCAACTTATGGTTCATGTGTAGCATGCATCCAAGGATATCTATAAATGCAGCCCAATACGTTTGTAGACCCCAGTATCATGTCACAGTGTCAAAATGTTGGACAGCCCGGATCTTAATTACTTTCTACAATGTTCATCTTTAGAGTAGACTTATTAAGTTATGTATCATCTACTAAAGGTCGTTTTCCAACACAACTCATAACAGTATTCATATATGTTCACTTTAAAATAACCAAAATATATACATAAGTGACTAAGAACAAACAGAATTTATGTCCAGAAACAGCCAACTAACAAGTGTCAGAATCAACTACTTAGAATTTAATACTTTGCTGGAAGCTAATGGCTATGAAACAATGATTTCCCTCCATCACTTTGCAAATTTCCCTCCATCAAGCTTGCTAATCATCCACTAATATAAAACAGTATAGCATACTTTCAAAAGCATCATACCCCCAGTTACTAACCAAAGCTGTTAAACTCCTAGAGCATTTAGCTTTTAACTCATAGCATTTTATATTTCCAATGTGGAAAATATGAAGAATGAAAAAATGCATTGTAAACTATTTTGCTTTATATTTTCATAGATGAATGTGGACTGTATAAACATGGGTACATATGTACAGTCTTCTGCATTTAAGTCACCTTGCCTTGTTTTATACATCACAAGTGTTTCCTTACTAAGGGAAACACCTCTGCTTTAAAAGCACACTTGTTTGCTACTAACTAGTAAAATGTGAATAACATAGGTGCAGACTGAGGAGCCCGTTAGAAAAACATAATCTGTCCAGCCTGTGTATTCATCTGGTACTGATTTTTGGCTGCCCAATACCCTCAAGATTTTCACATAATTTTATCACAAAATATAACAAACTAAATCATGTTCTTTTATTTCCAATATTGTTAAATATTAGTTGTCTAAACAATCAACCACAGATAAAAAGTTTACCTTCTAGCCATGTATAGAATGATTCTCCTTAAAAAAAAAAAAAAGAATTTGGTTAAAATATTTTAAGTATTTGTATATAAACAACAAATTAGGTCACTTGAGGACTACCTCTAGGAATGTCTACTCCTTTAGACTAAATAGTAAAATGGGCATATGTTTCTAGAAAAAAACATATATAATTTAAATAACTCTGGAGTGTTCTTACATATATTTTATTAAATTATTAAATTATTATGTAAATACTAAAATATATCTTATTCAGTGAAGGTTTAAATCCAAATGCATGGGGGCAAACACTTAGTAAACTTAAATCTGTCTGAGGTAACAAGCACAGTATTTAATTATGCCAGCAAACTACAATACAAAAATTAAATTATAATTACTTAAATTTTCCTAAGCCAATAAAGCTAGGTGTGTTTCCTTAATTATCTAAGAGTAAATTTCAAAGGATAATTTTCAGTGTAAATCTTGCTTAGACTATGACCTATCTGTGTAGGACCTAAGACATCTCCCCAGCACCCAGGGGAAGGTGGTAAACACAGAACTTGGGTTCCAGAGCAGCAGTAAGTTCCAGTGGTCTACTATACAGCATGTTGACTAGAATTAGCAACAATGTATTGTGTTCTTATAAACTGTGGAGAGATTTTAAGTGTTTTTTGCCACAACAAAAGCGAAGTATGTAAATAAATACATATAACACTGATCTTGTTTAGCCACTTCCCATGACACATGCTTCAAAACACTGCTGATACATATATATAATTTTGTCATTAAAGGAGAGAAGAACCGTTTCTGGCTCAACAACGCTCTTCTGAGTTAGGGAGGGAAAGAAAGGGAAATGCTGCTGGACTTCCTGAGGGAAGGATAGAAAACCCAGCCCACAGAGGTGCTGCCCAGTCTCAGGGCTAAACCCTGGGTGCTCTGCTGCCTCCCGAGTGCCTCCCCATTCCACCACAGAACAGTGCAGACAGCTTTGCAGTCAACTACTCCACCTACCCTACCCTGTGAAGGATTATTACTACCTCACTTCCTCAAATAACCTCAATGCCAGCTCCCACTGGGCTGGAGAAACCATCCCTTTAGACGACTTCAGTCTCCCCACTGCAGACAAGTCACAGGGAACACGCTAGACTTCCTGCTCATGCTACTTCCCCGACAAGCCTGTATTAGCGGGTTCTACTCATCTACATCTGCTCCTTTAATTCCGAACTCATCTTAAAGGCCACTTCTTCCAGGCAGCTTTTCCCATCATGTCTCATCCACGCATGAAGTGCTGTTTCACCCGAACTGAGTTACACCTGCTGGGGTGGGGAGCTGGCTGTCCGAGTTTCTGTATGTTGTTGTGGTGGTTGTATACTGCATTTGCTTTCCTCTGCGCATCCTTGGCTCACAGAGGGAAAGTGTGCACTTTATACATCCCCCCACTCTGCTAATGCTACTGAACACAGACAAGGAGACAGCAACTGGAATAATTTCTGGCCGTTTTGCAGCCAAATGCTAGTAAATAGTCTTTATAAGATTAAACACTATATTGAGAACTGAGAATGTAACTTTCAAAGTCAATAAGTAAATAAAGAAGTCACAAATTATCTGATTAAAAAAACTTTGCTACATTTCCTCAGAATCTTCACGTAGATTAAAAAGTTATTACTCATTGTGTATGTGGGTGGGAGGTGGGGGGGTTCGTGAGTGCCACAGCGTATGTGTGGAAGTCACAGGACAACTAAGGGAATTTGCTCTCTTCTTCCATCGTGTGGGTACTGGAGATTGAACTCAGGCCATCAAGGTTGGCAGGAAGTGTCTTTACCACCAACTTTCAAGATTTTGTTAACAGAAAATAGGAAAGTGGCACTTTCTATACTTTCTAAACATTTAAGTAAAATGGTCTGTTTTTTAAACATAAGACAATTCTGTTATTTTAAAAAAATTATTTTTATCACCATTCACCATTCTTTTCTGAAAAAAAAAATAATAATAGGCTAAGCCACCTGCTTTTGGTGAAAAGAAGAAAAACACCAAAATTTAATAGTAAAAAGGTTCTTCCATGGTTGAAGTAAACACGAGTTTCAACTCACCATCATCTTCCCCTAAAGGAGAAAAGAGAAAGACATTACAAAATGCCTTACCCCGTTCAGATTCCAGTCCTGCTAATGTTAACACATGGCTTATCCTCACTGTTAAACAGTTCACTGTACCATGAACTCTGATCACTATTGCAGGCATCCTGCAAATAAGAGCCTTGTCTGCAAGCCAAAGAGTACAAGATTCCCACATTCTACAAAACAAACAGGGAGGGAGAAGGGAGACAGGAAGAAACGAGAAGGGAAAAGGAACTGAGCCTGGGACACAGGTGCATAATCCTGGATACTTGAGAGGCTGAGGCAGGACGACATCCCTGAGTTCAAGGCCTGGGCTATGAGGTGAGTTCTAGGCTGGAGTGGCCTTCTAGGGAGCTGGGGATATAGCTGTGATAAAATGTTAGTGTGCATAAAGACTCGGTTCCATCTCCAGCACATTAAAAGATCAGGAAGCAACTGAAATGGCCAGAGGCGGCTAGTTTCAGTGCTTAGCAAATACACAAATATCCTTCCGGCCCTTCCCCCTAACCTCTGTGGACAGGATCGTGTCCATGCTGAGTACTTCTCTAGATGATTACGCTTTTGCTCAGACAGCCTGAACAAGAGGGTCAAGGGCACTCTCCTGGGGTGGACGGCCCAAAGGCTGAGCTGGCTCCTCTATTGCTTACTTTTGTTGCTTTCGCCTGACAGATTCTGACAGAACAGTTTATTTTTCAGAAAAAGGTTCTGTTGCTCAAAGACTTTTGGAAAAAGAGTTATAGAAGTCTAGAGCTGCCACTGCTTCAGGAACACCGTGGAAAAAACGGCTGAGGAGACCGAGTCCTCTCCCACCACGTCAGTAGGGAGCCCTCCAAGTCAGCCAGAGTTGCAGGCTTCCTTCAGCAGCCTGAAGAGCTGCGTCCACTCTCACTGCCTTGGCTTGTCTCTAACAGTCTTTCCAGTGTTTTTCTTTTCTTCCCTCCCTAGTCTCATTGTTGATTTCCCCCCTCCTCATCTTTGCTGCAGGTTTTGGTCTAATTTATGGTAAATGGAAACAAAGTGTTTCTTTGGATTTGACATCTTTTGTGAAACAAACAATTGTATTTTCTACTTTGAAACAAAGTAACTACAGAAAAGGTCTGAAGAAAAGCCCTCCTTAACTATAACAGGAAACAGAAGGAAGGATCTCCTATTGTCCTTTATACAGCTTCCATGGTGTCAGTTTTTATAACATTTTGTGCAATTAAGACACTGAAGTTGAAACCATAAAAGTTATGATATAAAAACAGCAAAAGAGACAAAATATAGAAGTCATGACCACTCTGCTCCTAGTCCCAGCTTTTACCAGTCAGTTTCAGAATGAGCTTGAAAAACAGCATTTTGCCCTGACAGAGCCAACATCTAAAAGCAATGCTCATGTTCAGCCACTCCACATCTATTTGGGCCTCAGGCCAGAAGGCACAAATCTACTTAGGAATGTCAACGTTTTCACTTAGTCCTGGCCTAAACTCTGGAATGGCAGGTCAGCTACAGGGTCAATCCCAGAGATTAGCTGCTCCTAGAGAAGAGGATGGAAGTCAGGCGGTGGTGGCACACGCCTTTAATCCTAGCACTAGGAAGGCAGAGCCAGGCGGTTCTCTATGAATTCAAGGCCAGCCTGGTCTACAGAGCAAGAGCTAGGACAGGAACCAAAACTACACAGAGAAACTCTGTCTCGAAAAACCAAAAAAAAAAAAAAAAGAGAGAGAGAGAGAGAGAGAAGAGGACGAAGATGTCCCCACTGACCTCAGCATGCTATACCACCTGAACAACACACTGGCTATACATGTACCTTACATATGTTTTTACAGTAAGACCTCAGTATCATGTGCTGTGGGCTAAGAGCTTTGCCCGAACATGGAAGTTCTCACTGATGACAAAGGCAGCTGACACTGCCACCATCTTTATAATCAAGTCAACTAAACTGAAAATGTAAAATTGGGGTTCACACTGACCATACACACACTTACTGGCCAGCTGGCCGTTGGTTACTTAGTGGAAGAGTACAGGGCTGGAGTAGTGCTGAGGGCAGCCTGAGTGTCTGCACACTCCTCATCCATCCTTCCTGTGCAGAGAGCGTGGTGCATGGGGAGGACCCCTGAGAACCCTTTAGACAGGTCTCTGGTGGGGCCCAGCCTCCTGTGCCGTGTGCTCCCCTGGCTCCCAGGTACATATATGCACTGTGGAGAAGCTGTGATGAGCCCCCAACTCTCCCCTTTGCTGCACATCACCAAGCAAACAGAGGTTCTTAACCTGGGGTCAGGGGTCACATATCTGATATCCTACACATCAGATATTTAAATTATGGTTCATATTAGTAGCAAAATTACAGTCATGAAGTAGTAATGAAATAAGTTTATGGTTGGAGGTCACCACAATATGAGGAACTGTATTAAAGGGTCGCAGCATTAGGAAGGTTGAGAACCCCTGAACTAGAGTGTTTAAAAACATGGGGACAGGGTCCTCATTCTCTGGCTTCTTAATTTACTGTTGTGGGGCAGGACCTGGGCCTCCAGAGTTTGAAATTTCAGGAAATCTGAAGGATGTACAGATCCCTCACATCTTCTAATCCATCCTACACCAGGCTCCTAGTTTAGGACCTGGCACAGAGCTCCAGAAGACATCTAATCTATTAACTCATGCTTGTGTTAATCACTAAAATTAAGCAAAATATAAACTGTTGATTTACTTTTCTTCAATTTGAAAATGCATGAAATGTACGGAAAACCCACCTCGGCTGGGTGCCAGGGGATTTAAAGGCCGATACACAGACCGAGGCCTGGAAGAGAGCACAAAGCCCAGCTGTAAAACTGTTTAGCTTGTTATGTGTCACCTTCTCCCAACAGAAACAGCCATCTGCCTCTCCCTCTCTGGCCCTCCATTACTTGAAGCAGTTCTCTTCATAGATGCTGTTCCACACCCTCCATGCCGAGGAGCCCTTGTAGCCGGTGTACCGCTCTGGGTTCAGCAGCAGGTCCACATACTGTGCAGCAGGAGATCGCTCATCTGCCAGGAACAAGTGGTAAGAAAGATCACTCAACTTCACCACTCACCTACAGCTTGGCATCACAAAGCAGCAACTCCCCAACCAGAGAAGTGCTTGCTTCAAGTCACATCCAGCTTACACTGTCGGGTGGTTAACCCCTGTGACCGCACTTGACCCTGAATTTATAGAACTTGGACCAATTACTCGAGAGGAAAGAACAACTTCTTCCTTTCTTTGGCTTTTCAAAGTTGACTCAAGTAACATTCTCTATCTTAGTTATAACCACCCAGGAATAAAAAGAAATAACAGAATCAGATTTATGTGATGTTTTTCTTTCTATAATGATCTACCTCAACATAGACTAGGAAACACTATATTGTTACAGCTTATATTACAAAGATTTTTTCCATCATTCTCTACAGAATAATTTGGTCATTAAATTTCCTCTTCCTTTCCTACCTGATAGTGTATTTTCTGTCACTGGACAAGATTCATTAGCTATTCAGTGACTACCACCCCCATAATCATAGGGGAAACTGGCAACCTGACCCACGCTCTTTGAGGGCTACCTGCTGCTATCATGATGTAGGAGGAATATAAAGGTAACAACAAATTGTCATTATTAAATCGACTGAATATAACAGAGATAATGGAAACATGATTTTACAGAATGCAAGATCTCTAATTCTAATCACAAAGATAACACACTACACAAATTTAGGCATAGGAAACAAGTTACAACTGGTTATACAAAAACTCACAAGCAATTTAATTTGAACTGAAATCATTACTTTTAAAAATCCTAATAAAAAAAGTTCAAGCCATGAGGTTTTTAAAAACATTGCTTTTTAAGGGCTAAGAATGTAGGATGTAGCTAAGTGGTTTTTGATACCTGCAAACAAACACAAACCTTAAGAAAAAAAAAGTACATTTTTTTTTTTATAGTTAAACAATAAGAATTGTTAAAATTTATTGTTTAATTTCTATTTTTTCCAGAGTAGAAAAAAAAAAGACAAGGTTACTGAGTACACTTCAAGGGAGCAGTGGCCAGGCAGGAACAGAATGGCCTGCCTCATTTATTTCTAAGCTTTGTATCTTTCATTTTTAAAATTTTATGTATGGGTATTTTGCCTGAATGTATGTTTGTGCACCACATGTGTGCAGTTCCCACAAAAACCAAAAGAGGGTGTCAGATCCCTGCAGCCGAAGTTATACATAGTTATGCTGGGAATTGAACTCAGGTCCTCAGGAAGAGGAGCCAGTGGTCTTAACTGCTGAGCCATGTCTCCAGCCTCAGTTATGCATTTTTAGTTTCTTTTAGCTGTTTTTAAATTCATCTGTAAAGCAGATTCCATAATATAGAAAACTTCTTGAATATCATTGAATGTCATTACTGTATTCTCTGATATAAACATGCATGCATACATGTGTACACACTCACTCACACACACACACACACACATCTATACTTTCTGAGTGTATACGTGTGAAACTAAACATGTGCAGGTCTGAGATGTATGTGTGGATGGGACTAGCACCAATCTTCTCACCAGAGAAAACCCATTCAACAACTATAAAGGAAAAAAGATTCTGACCTCAAACCATGACAATTTACTGCTGTGGGATGGTCTTTCTGTATGCTGTTGCTATGATTGGTTAATAAAGAAGCTGTTCTGGCCTATGGCAAGTCAGGTTATAGCCAGGCAGGAAATCCAAGAGAAAGACAGGAAGAAGAAAGGCAGAGAGAGACGCCAGCCTGCTGCCAGGAGAAGCAAGATGTGAAAGTACCAGTAAGCCATGGAACACATGGCAACTTATGGATTAATAGAAATGGGTTAAGTTATAAGAGCTAGCTAGCAAGAAGCCTGAGCCATAGGCCATCCAGTTCATAAATAATATCAAGCCTCCCAATGATTGTTTTATAAGCAGCTGCTGACTGTGGGGCGGGTGGGACTGGAGAAAACTTCCAGCTACAATTTACAGTATATTTTAGTGAGTCAGCAATGTAGCTCAGTGAAAACATACTTGCCTAGCACGAATGAAGCCCTGGGTTTGATAATCAGCACCACAGATGTGTGCATGCACACACACACAAGTCATCTAATGAAGTATTTTAAGGAAAAGTTTTAAAAAGTGTATAATCAAATTACATCAGTTAAAAAAACTCCTTAAATAAAACTTTTGTTCTTGGGTTTCCTTCATTTTAAAAATCTTTTAATACTTTTTCAAACCATGGAAAGGGTAGGATTTGTTAACTTATGCAAGGGGGTTGATAAGATACCCAGGGGCTGAGTGTGGCTTGGGGCTGGGAAGGACAGGTCCTGAAGACCACGGAGCATGCGCTCAAGTGCCGCTTTCACATCACCCCAGATCTGAGAGTGTGCCACAGGTACAGAGTCCACAAAACCCAAGACTTCTACCTGATATTTAAAAAAACAAAACAAAACAACAACAACAAAAAAAAACTTGGCAACCCCTGACCCACACTGATAAAGAATTCCTTCTGTCCAGAGTGAGCAATGCAGCTAGTTCCCATAGTGATGCCGCAGCCATCCTCCCCACCCCCCAGGCCAGTTATGGCATTGATTCTAGCTAATTCAAACAGAAATTGTATTCTTTACACTGATGTGCCTTATAACTCCTATGCCCCCCTCCCTGAAAGTTTTCTTCCCTCTACAAAGCTATCTTTTCTATTTGACCATGCTAGCCATATAGAGATCAGAGGGTAACCTCAGTTTTCTGTCCTGCCTCTACCTTGAGATAAGGTCTCTGTAGCCAAGCTAGCCTTAACTTCTATGTAGCCAAGGATGACTTTGAATTTCTGATCCCCCCTCCTCCATATCCCAAGTACAGGGATCACAGGCATGAGTCGTGGCACTAAGAAGTGCCTCTGGTAAGCACTCAGCATACTTGAGTGTCAACCAGAGCAAATGAAAGAACAGTGAAGTAAAATAAACAGTGACTTGAGGTACTTCTAATCAAGAAGAGAGGACAGCAGCCACAGAAGGTAGCTCTGACAAACCATCAACTCTAACCATCACAATGAGGGCATTTCACATTGCCCTGGTTGTCTATTCGTATATCTAGATAACCATGGTAACACTTTGGCTCTCAGTTCTCATCTTGATTCTGCTACAGCATGAGCCCTCCGTAACTTACTCCATCTTAAAGTGCACGACAGCACAGGTCGGTGTGGTCGGAATGAGAATGGCCCCATAGACTCATATGTTTGAATACTTGGTCCCCAGTTAGAAGAACTCTTTGGGATGGATCAGAAGATGCCTTGTGGAGGAGCTGGGTCACTGGGGGTGGGCTTTGATGTTTCAAGAGACTCCAGCCATCCCTGGTGTTCCCTCTCTCTGCCTTGTGCTTGAGGATCCAGATGTGAGCTCTCAGCTATTCCTGTCACCACGCTTTCACTCTACCACCACGGACTCTAGCCCTCTGAAACTGTGAAGTCCAATTAAATGCTTTTTTAAATTATTATTTTCTTGTATAAGCTGCTTTGGTAGAGATTTTTATCAGTGCAATAGAAAACTGAGACAATCTAAGAAACTTCTTCAAATCATTACAAAACAGCATGACCACCTTAGATTCCTAAAGGACTTGGAAGTTGCTGCTGTCCATTTCCGTCTGTGTGGGTTGAGGCTCAAGTTCTTTCCTACTTCCCACAAGTTAACACTACATTAAAAACTGAAGAGAGGCCAAATGAATGATTTGAATGCACAATACAGTGGAAATATTCTCAGGCAATTTTGAGTTACTGTTATTTTCTTTTGTTAAGAGGAGCGGTAATTACTTGTCTGACCCCATCCTGCCTATGTATCCTTCCAAGGGATGCTTGGAAAGAGAGGGCTATGAGGAAGTCAAGTCAGAGTCCTCCCTAGTACTGCAGGAATTGTTATGGTTTATTGAGACCTCCACCAAATTCTCACGGCCTGTTTACAGAACCAAGTGATCTGAAGTGAAGGCCCGCAGGAGATGGCACGCTGGAATGTTAATACAGGTTTGGAACTCAGATCTAAGACTGAATCGTGTCTTGGCCTCTTGCTATTAACCTCTCACAATTAATGCCACTACCAATGGTAAGGTCTCCACAGATAAATCTAGTGTTAAACAATAATTTAGGTCATATTTTCAACAGTTTGTCTTATAAAAGGCTTCAGGTTAAAGTGATGATGACAATTTATTTTATTACCATCTAGTTCACAAAAGTGATCCTGTGAGTCATCATATCTCGCCCAGTCAATGAATGCTTCTTTGCTTTCGTTACTATGGAAAAGAGGAATAAAAAACAATTACATTTGGAGCTGACATTTTAACTTTGTATTCTAATGAACAAAAATAGAGATCATTTCTTCAGAAGATGATGCCACAAATTCTAGCAGTAGTTAAATGAAGGAATGATAAAAAGTCACATGAAAAACACAGCTATCACTTTCGATGAGTTGTTTATATTTCCTAACTACTTTAAAATGATTCTTAGCCCTAGTAATTATTTTGAATTTAATTTACAAAACATATAATAAGCCCTTATATACAAAACTCAACTGACATACAGATGTAGTAATGTTATTTTTTTTTCTAAAGTAGTAGTTCAGCTTTTTTTCTGAATTCTTTAAATTTAAGTTGCTTTTATATTTATAGAACCCCCAAATACCAACCCCCAAGTATCAAAATCACAACCCAGGCTGTGGTGGCACACTGGGCTGTGATGATACACACCTTTAATCCCAGCAACTGGAGACAAAAGCAGGCAGATCTCTGAGTTCGAGGCCAGCCTGGTCTATAGAGTGATTTCCAGGACAGCCAAGGCTACACAGAGAAACCCTGACTTGAAAAAAAAAAGTCATTGATATAAACAACTAAGTACAACTAAACTTGCCTTAATGTACTATTGATGGCGCCCAGCTTGTTAGCCTGCTCACAGTCTTCGAGTTCTTTGGTATTGTTTGCCACTTGCAAGTACTACAAAAAAATTCATATGAAGTTTAATGGCAATGATTAGCTCTTCTTTAGCAGACAATCTATCAATGATGACTTGTTCTATCATCAAAATCCTTACTGTAAGAAAGACTTAAAAGTAAGGCATAAATCTCTACCCATTAAGTGAGCAAAGGCATTAAAAATGCAACAGTTAGCATGTGTATGCTGGTGATGATGTCATCCAGGAAAGAAATTGGATAAATATGTATCGATAATTTTACAGACACATAAGTCCTTAGAATGGAGTCTTCAACTTAGACCATATCCCAAGGAAACATTTTTTAATATTACAACCATCTTAGTGTTTTGAATCATTTTAAAATACTGAGATACACAGACCCTATTTTCTATCATCCCACTTCTATACACAGTACTAGGGAAACTTTCATGTGCACACAATGAAGCCAGGGATAAAAATGCCAGTGCTTCACTGCAAGAGCAAAGAACCAGAATGACTAAATGTCCACGTGCAGGGGGGCTACTGTTAGTCAAACAAACAACTAGCATATTATTGTGAAGGTGAATGCACAAGATCCAATATGTCAACAGAGAAAGAACTTTAGAAGCAAAAACAATGAGCCAAAATGTAAACTGAAAAGTATTTTCAACTTGAAGAAATTACTAAAATTTTTAACTTTCCATAAAATAATCTGTATATTACTGTACTGCAGACACATGCTCTGAAAGTGTGTTATTTATAGACAGATACATATGTAGTCAAAGCAGAACTACATAAGTCACTTCAGGAAATGGATGGCTCTGGGGAGGAGGAAGTAAAATGGGACTAGAATGGTGTTCAGCAGGTGGACTACCTTGATACTGCTTTGAAACCAAAGTAAATGTGAACGAGTAAATATCAACAATGCATGGAAGAGATGGATAGAACAAGGAGACAGTACACAAGAAGGCAGAGAAAGAAGATCTTCATCATGTATGTGCAGCAGTGGGAAATGAGAGTTAACTGCCAGCTAAGAACACAGCTTACTCATTAGAGGGGGGGAGGGGGCACAAAGAATACCTTAACACCATTTCCAAGGACTTGGCTCAAAATATCATGGTAATAATTTTCTTTGTACAATGTAATCTGAACCTAACAGACACTAATTGAAACAGAAGAATGAAAATAGCTACTAGTATTTTTGCTGCAGCTACAATTGAGAGTTTTTCATCTAGAGATTCTGCAAATGGATGTCATTTCAAAAGAAGCTAGGAATGCATGTTCTCACTGCTTGATTCAAGAGTTAAGATTTGAATTCTGAGGCCAAGTGTCTCCACGCTCAGCTAAACTTGAGGCTCTCTACTGCCCCCCTCCCCCATCTTCCCCTCCTCCCTTATCCAGAAATACTCAAGGAAGAAAAGTAACTTACCTTATTTGAAGGCCCAGCTTTAATTCCAACTGGAATTTTGCTCTTAAAAGAAAAACAGTAACATTACTTAGAAGACAATCAGAAAGGATGGCTGCTATCAGAGGGAAAGGAGGGGAGCAAGAAGAAACTGATCTCAAATGTGTATGTACTTTGCTTCCTATGGTATGACTTCTCTTTTTAAAAAATGTATACTTTATGTGTATGAGTGTTTTGCCAGCATATATGCATGAACATCATGTGTATGCCTATTATCTGTGGCAGCCAGAGAGGGCAGGCACTGGATGCCATGGAACTGTGGTAATGGATGGCTCTGAGCTACCATGTGAATACTGGTAACTAAAGCCAGGACCTATGTAAGAGCAGCAAACGCTCTTAACCCCTGAGCCACCTCTCCAGCCTCTGTTGTGAGTTTTTCAATCAACAGTGTGTTTATTCCTTATCAGAAATGTAGTGCAGAAAAGGCTATAATGCACTACAGATGGAAAGAAACTGGTTATTTGAACTTAGGAAGTAAACACTCAACTTAGAAACCTAGTATGAGCCAGCCAGCATTGTGGCTCATACTTGTGATCCCAGAACTCAGGAAACTGAGGAAGGAAGACTGCCATGAATTCAAGGCCAGCCTAGGCTATAGGGAAAGAACCTATCTCCAAAAATCCAAATCTAAATCCAAATCCAAATACACACACACACACACACACACACACACACACACACACACACACACACACACACACACACTCACACACTCAAATCGGTCAGGTCTAGCTACATGGCACAGGCTGAAGCAGGAACATAACTCCCAGGCCAACCTGGGCTACATAGTGAGACCCTATCTCAAACAAAACCAAAGCCAAATAATGAGCTTCTAATATTCAACAGTAAGAAAACTATTTAAAAATGGGCAGGCCTGGGTGTGTAGCTCTGTGGCAAGATACGTGTTTGGCATGCACAGGCCCTGGGTTCTGATCTCGGCACTAGCACCAAAAGGAAAAAAAGTACTGGCTCCTGTTCCAGAGGAGAAGGAACTGAAGAAACAGGACAACAACATGCAGCCCTTACATCGGACTGGACTGACAAGCTACAAAGCACAACACATAGTCAGCAGATGACATGTGATGACTGTCTATCAAAACAATTAATATCCTGATTTTGTTAATTTGGCTATAGTCATATACAAAAAAAAAACACTTTGCTTCTAAGGAAATACAACAGTATTCAGACATAAAGGACCGTCTGCAGTATGCTTAAATGGTTCAGGGAGTAAAGCAAACATGTACATCCAGGTGATCTGAATAATACACCCAGGGGGTCCTTGGACCATTCTCAGAACTTTCCTACAAGTCTGAGATCATTTAAAACTAAAACCACTTTCCATGAATATCTTATTCTTATTGGAAAAGAAAGATCATTTTTAAAGAATCTTCCATTTAGGATGACACTGGTCCAGATGCTCTTTTTTAAAACTATTTTTAAGGCCCACAAACTAGCTTGATTTGGTAAGAAAAGAATTGAAAACTAAAATATAGCTTAAAACTAATTGTTACTGAGGGAGAATAATTTTAAATTTTGTAACTGAAGTATCAGAACTTGGGGTGTATCTCAGTGGTACCAGCCTATTATGTGTAAGAATGTAGGTTCCTATATATGTGTTTGTGTGTCTGTCTGTCTCTCTGACAGCCCCCAGCCCCTCCCCACCTCCACATCCCTAAAATGTAACAGTCCCTTAGTAAGAAACATTTTTATGCTTTATTTATATGGTAGTAAACATATTTTTAAAGAAAAAAAAGGAATGAAACTCTAGGCTGAATTTTCTCACTTCATGCACTGAAATCTCCATTTTAAATGTGAAGTTTAAGGTCCTGAACTTTTCTTTTTGCCTATGAAGCAAGATCAATGAAGTCCACTGCAGGTCTAATCCTAGAACAAGGCTCTGGTCTTCCTCCCATTTTAGAATCAAGACTTATATTCACATCCCATCACCAACAGCACTGGACACAAGAATTCCTCAACTCATCTTTCAAGGGGTCTAGTCATAAGAGCTGAAAGCCTATGAAGTTTGTGAATAAATCCAAATACAAGGGTACAGAGGTTGTGATTTTTTGAAAGCCCAAGAGGAAGCCCCCCCCCCATTATTATACTCTTACTTACTGTACCTCTGGACAGGGCTCCACATGACAGTCTTTTATTGAGCAGTGGCCATCTTCTGCCCAGAAAGGACATGGTCGCTTCAGATTAACCTTTCGAGGAAGAAGAAATCAACATTAACAATTGGGCATGATAATTACAGAAGGTTTGCCAATGTCACTATGTTGGGCATGGTGACACAGTGGTGATAAGAGGGAGAAACTTCTTGTCCTGTGGCACATACACAGTTCAGATATTAAATGACTGCAGCTGGGTGGCATGTTAACTTTTAAAACAAATGGCTATGGGTTCTCTGACATTGGAAAAGAGGGACAGCATTTAAGTTCACTGCTCCTCTGAAGCACAGTTGTCATTGGGCAGCATTTCAGAATGACTTTAACATTCCCCAAACACTTACTACCACCGTAGCATCAGGGTGCCCACACTCCCTTAGTCAGAATGTACTGAGCACTGGCTATCTGTCAGACACCAAGTTAGGCTCGAGGCAAAAGAGAGCTTTCTCTCTCTAGGACTTATAATATCCTGAAGAAAAGAGAAATCAAATACTGGCACATTTATTTCATTACAAATTGTAGTACATGTTCCAAAGGAGAACCCAGAGTTGTGCAGTAGTGATGCTCATGGGTGGAGCCTCTGAGGAGGTCACACTTTAGGAAGATGAAAAGTGGGGGACATGTGTATTTGGCTACAGCAATGGAGAGCTTTGTGGTGTTAAGAATGAAGAAGTGCTGGGTGGTGGTGGCGCACACCTGTAATCCCAGCACTCGGGAGGCAGAGGCAGGGGGATCTCTGTGAGTTTGAGGCCAACCTGGTCTACAAAGCAAGTTCCAGGAAAGGCGCAAAGCTACACAGAGAAACCCTGTCTCAACAAACAAACAAACAAACAAAGAATGAAGAACCACCAGTTCCACCATTATTGGGAGACAAAGAATGGACAAAAATGGCAGAGGTCACCGATTTCCAAATCCTTCATACAACAGGAAGCTGACAATCCAACAGGACTTACAGATGTATTGCCCAAGCTAAAAATCAACGTTTTCTGTTTCCTCTCTTACTTGTTCCTTATTTTTTACCACTTCCACAACCACCATTTGTCTCCTGCCTAAGCTACTGCAACATTCCCCACCCTCTGCCACTACCCATTGCACACAGCAACAGTTACATCAACCAAGCAGACCCTACCAGAGTCTGCTCAGAACTTTGCCTGCGCCTTTTCCTCCCCTTGGAGGAGCAAACACAACCCTGCAGCAGCTCTACAGGTGCCGCTCTGTAGCCACTGTCCTCTGTCTCCTTTACCTCATCTGTTACACTACATTTCTGCTTGACACACCAGGTTCCTTAAGTCCCAAAGCCTCTATACTGCCCATTCTCTTTATCTGCTATTGCTCCTACAGAGTGCTTGTTCCTCTACCTTACTGAGGTCTCTCAACAGCAGCAAGCCTTGGCTAGACCCTCTAAAGTAGTAATTAGAATATAATCACCACCCACTATATTGCTGTATAGTTTCTGTGTATGTTTGTATATGTATTTGTGTATGAGCCATGTGTACATGCTCATGCTTTTAAGGCTGGCCCCAACCTACCTCTCCAATCCTCCTCCTCATTCACCTGCTTCTGTGGCCTAAGCCTTCTTCTAATTCCTACAATATACTAAGCTTACTCCTGTGTCAAAACTCTTCAGTCTACTCATTCAACTTCCCTGGAATGTTTTCCACAGATCTCACCACACTTACACTTTCACATTAGGATGGTCTTTGCTCAAATGTCACATTAGCATAAATACCATCCTTTCCTGAACATTTCATCAAAGCAAGGCTACTTATCTCTATATCCCTTACGCCGCCCCATTTATACTGTCTCCTGCTTTTTCTCTACAGCATTCACCTTACATCTGACATTCCAGTTCACTATTTACTTATTGTCTGTCTCTCTAAGCAGAACCAAAGCTTTGTCTTATTCACTGCTGTATCCACAGTACTAAGACTAGAGGCTGTCACGAAGTCATCAATGCGGACCAATTGCCCAGCTACAAAGGTGAGTGGTTGCTTCTACCTCCACTTCCTTGTTTGCTGAATCCAAGTATCTATCTGTGTGTGTGTGTGTGTGTGTGTGTGTGTGTGTGTGTGTGTGTGTGTGTTTGAAATCAACCTTGTTATTTTTGCCTACTTAACTTTCATTTTCCCTTCTTCTGGAAAGGTCTTCTAATTTCTCCTTGATAAACAATGATTCCTCATGTTCCTTTGAATGGCACTGTCATCCAAGATATACTTCCTTCTTTTGGTAAAGGTATCACATGACTAGCTGGACCAATCATGATTCTCTCCTCTAGAAATTTGACTCTTGTATAAAAAACAAAAACTACAGGAAAACAGCTCATTCAGCCTGGAAGTTGTAGGGCTGATGACACAGCTCAGTGGAACAGTGCTTGCCTAGATGTCTAACAGGCCAGAGAGCCTAGATTCAAGCAGCACAAAGTCTTGGTGGCATCCTAAAGGGAAGGACCACTAGTGCCTACTCCACTTTCATCTTTTCTCAAGTGTACTACTTCAGTCTGTCTTTAAATTTCGTAAACTACTTAATTCTTTTCTCTTTTTCTCAAACTTCTGTTTCTTAGTCAACACAAGTACCCTACTTAGGATACTCAGGCCTATGATTTCTTCAATTTAAAAATGTGGATAATAACAAAATTTTCATATGAAGAGTAAATGAGATATCTATTCATCCAAATATTCAATTCCTCAATGGGCCTGGCCTTGTATGGATACAAAAATAGAAGATGCAATCCCAAAAGGGAGGTGTACCTGAGTGAGGGTTGGGACGGAGTCAGTGGCAATGTCACCTGGACACCCAATGAAGGCACAGTCTCTGACAGCACACAGGAAGTTTCTACTGCATTAGATTGAACCACATGAAGTTGGTATGTTCAACCATTTTGAAATATAAAAGTAACTTCATATGATTTTTCTAATATTATAAAGGAAACAGCTACACATACAGTCAGCGATTTCATGCTGGGACTCAGAAGCACCTATCTTATTTGTAATGAAAGATCAGCCATAGTTAGGTACAGATTTGTCTTTGAACTCCTAACAGATTCTATACAAAGGAGAAATGAAGATCAGCCATAGTTTAGGTACAGATTTGTCTTTGAACTCTTAACAGATTCTATACAACGAAGAAACATTCACTCCTTTCTGGATATTCTTGGTATTTGTGGGCAAAGGAATGGGTTCCCAAATCTGTAATTTTCTAATTTATCTTCTTGAACAACCTACAATTGCCAAAAGACCAAAATTTTCACCCTCAAAAATATTTAAAGAGCTAAGATAATCTATTCAGAATCAAGATTAAAAAGGAAACCATGTTTAAATTTTAGAACAAACTAAAATGAAAATCAAATTATATACCAACTAAATCCTGAAAGCAAGAACAAGACCAAAGTCAAACATGGCTTTAAAATCTAGTTGTGAAATAGAGCTGTGCACACACACAGAGGACACAGACTGGAGGAACAGGGAGTGAAAATGGTCAAAGTACATGATGGACTTGAACCAAAAGGCCATCATGAAGCCCACTGTTTGGTGGATACACACTAATAATTTTTTTAATTCACTAGACTACACTTTTGGTATTTTCTCCTTAAAAATGTAAAATTACAATTATTTCTTTGAGTTCTGATTGCTGAAATACTTAAAAGTCTGCTACTGCCTTTTCTGGTATTTCCAGAAGGCCTAGAGACTCATGCTAGGTTAAAAACAGATTCTACAGAATTACTACAAGAATGTGTTCTATTTGTAGCATCACTTGGTCTGCAGCCCCCACACAGCAGGTCAGTGACAGTCTGTTACTCTGCTCTGCTTACAACACACCCATTATACAAACATGACGCCCAAATGAAGCCTGGACAGCTTGGTCCAGATCACAGAACCTATGCTCACAGAGGCCAACAGTGTGGGCAACTGAAATGTCTGTAAAGGAGGAGTCTTCATCTCAAAACCAAAACTGAAAGAGTGATTCCTCAAACATAGGAAGGGGGTGCAGATTCTTGGTATGTAATAAAATAATTTTTCCACTATGATACTTTTATTAAAGTTTCATTTTTAAAAGATTTATTTTGAAAAACATAATAAAACAAGTCACATTTGCAGACAACTATATAGAAATCTTTGGATTAACAGAATTAAAATTTTCCACCTTACCTTGTAATAACGAAAATAGTCTCGTTCTTGTAACTTTTGTAATTTGGGGAAGATTTTGAAGGTGTTGAAGTTATCAATGCTGTCAACGTCACACAAGCAATCATCCAGCACTCCAGTCACCTAGAACGTACATATGTATAAGATACAAGATATTCAAATCGCTAATGTTTATACCTTAAATCTAGTCTATTATTTTAAGAGATAATTTATTCATTCGAGTTGGCCAGTTTTACTGATTAAGATTCATAACATTAGGGCCAATTAAATGGCCTAGTGGATAAAAAGTGCTTGTTGCCAAGTCTCATGACCTGAATTCAATCTCCCTCCACACAGGGGAAGGCAGGAACTGACTCTTGAACTTATCCTGTGACTTTTGTATACATGCCATGCCACGTGTGTACTCAGCCCCCAACACACACACAAAATAACTACTGTAAAAACTACTTTTAAGATTCATGACATTAAAGCAGTCATTTTTTAACTATGGCAGTTGAATATAAAAAACCACAAAAAACAAGAAAGTTACATATATCTACTTGGAAATACCAAACCTTTTAGGGCTCCAAATGGAAGATACTTCTGCCTTTCATCTGCCTAAACGTCAATAAAAAACGCAAGTAGCTACTGGATTCCAGACTAACTTAGAAGCCACAGTGTAATGGCACTGCTGAGACCACCTGCATCTTTCCTCTAGGCTGTCACTTATGTGCCAGGCATGGAGTTAAGAGCTTTAGTATGTCACCTCATCTACTCTTTAAAACTATCCTGAAAAAAAGGAAATTATGGTTTAACAAGCTTACATTGATTGTTTTACATACCTACAGAACTTAACTCCCAAATCTACCAGGCTTTAAAGTCTGTATCCATGAATCCAAGAAGAGAAACAGGTATATAAGAGGCAAATTCTAAGTCCAAAATATTCCCTAAGACATTCTTCAGCTTTATTAAAAATGACTCTCTCTATATATATACACAACTTGAATTAATGCCGGGAGAAGTCTCGAGTAAAAAACAGCATCTCCCAAAGTCACATGCTATGGTTCCATGTACAGAACATTCTGAAAAGTTTTAGAAATAGCCATTCTGACAAGTGTAAGGTGGTATCTCAGAGTCGTTTTGATTTGCATTTCTCTGATGATTAAGGATGTTAAGCATTTCTTTAAATGTCTTTCAGCTATTTCACACAGCTGTTTTTAAAATACTTTTTTCTAAGTCAGGTACGGTGGCTGTCTTAGTAAGGGTTTATTGCTATGAAGAGACACCATGGCAACTCTTTTGTTGTTGTTGTTGTTGTTGTTTGAGACAGGGTTTCTCTGTGTAGCTTTGGATCCTGTCTTGGAATTCACTCTGTAGACCAGGTTGGCCTCAAACTCACAGAGATCTACCTGCCTCTGCCTCCTGAGTGCTGGGATTAAAGGCATATGCCACCACCACCTGGCCATGGCAACTCTTATAAAGGAAAACATTTAATTGGGGCTGGCTTACAGTTTCAGAGGTTTAGTCTACTGTCATCATGGAAGGCAGATACAGTGCTGGAGAAGAAGAAGCTGAGATTTCTACATCTTGATCCACAGCAGCAGAAAGAGAAACTGTCACACTGGGTATGGCTTGAGCATATATGAGATCTCAAAGCCTGCCTCCACAATGACACACTTTCTCCAACAAGGCCACACCTACTAACAGTGCCACTCCCTATGGGTCAAGCATTTAAACACATGAATCTATGGGGACCATACCTATTCAAACTACCACTATGGCACATGCCTCTAATTCCAGCACTTGGGAAGCAGAGGCAGGCAAATTCTAATTGGTCTTAATAATAAAAACCCGGAGTCAGATATTAGGATAAATGTTGAAAGATCAGTAAAGGAGCCAGCCACTAGAGAGACTTCTTACCGCTATCTAATCCTCAGCTAGAAAGGAGTGGCGCTCCTGTCTTCACCCTGCCTTATCACTTCCTCTCTCTGCTCTGCCTTATCACTTCCTGTCTCCATCTCCCAAGTGCTGGCATTAAAGATATGAGACACCACTGCCTGGCCTCTAGTGGCTAGCTCCTCACTCTGATCTCCAGGCAAGATTTATTTGTTAAAGCACACGGATCTTTGAGTTTGAGGCCAGCCTGGTCTACAAAGTGAGTTCCAGGACAGCCAGGGTTACACAAAGAAACACTGCCTTCCCACCCCAAAATAAAACAGACAGACAACAAACCTTTTAAAGTAACTGCTCTTTCTTAGTAATGTTTTTTAAACTGAAAACTTTTGGTTTGTAAACCATCATACTTTCAAGTATTTTCAGGGGTTGGAAAGATGGCTCAATCAGCAAAATGCCTGCTATACAAGCATAAAAGCCTAAATTCAGATCCCCAACACTTACATAAAAAGCTGGGGAAACAGCACTAAGGAGGCGGAGACTGAGGACTCCTGGGCCTTGCTGGTCAGCCTGTATAATTGAATTGATGAGTTCCAACTTCATCAAGACTCTGTCTCAAAAAATAAGGTGGAGAGAGATTGATGGCACCTGATGTCAACTTCTAGCCTCCACATGCATATATGCACACACACAAAAGCCATTTTCATTGTGAGAAGTATAAACTGCAGTTAATACATATCTGTAACTTTTTTTTTTTAGATTTATTTATTATGTATACAGCATATATGACTGCCGGCCAGAAGAGGGTGCCAGATCTCATTACAGATGGTTGTGAGCCACCATGTGGTTGCTGGGATTGAACTCAGGACCTCTGGAAGAACAGTCAGTGCTCTTAACCGCTGAGCCATCTCTCCAGCCCCCATATCTGTAACTTTTAAAGACTATTCAGATAAACCCTGTGTGCCACCAAACGTTTGAAATGTAGATGTGAATATTGCCCACATCTTTGAAGTTCCTTCTCAATTACATCTACCTAAGAGGTTAAAATAAAGCTTACTGTTGTAACCAATTTTCTTTGTAGGCATCCCTAAATAATATACTCACAATTCCTCTGTTTTTTAATATCAATATCATTTCCTTTCAATTCTTCCACAAGGTGCTACTTTTGCTAACATTTTACTTTGGCATTGTCTATAATGGTGAGTTTTACTTACAGCTGGCTCATTTCCTTTCCCTGTTGTAAATAGTGCTTTATAATATGAAAAAAATCACAGCTTATCTATTCTATTTTGCTCCATGCAGAAGGAAGAACATCCCAGGGTATGCAAGTCCTGATTCCTAAGATACTATTTCACAAATCTAATCTTTTTGTTGTTGTTGTTTTTATTGTTTTTTGTTTTTCAAGACACGGTTTCTCTGTGTAGCCTTGGTTATCCTGGAACTTTCTCTGTAGACCAGGCTGGCCTTGAATGCAGAGATTCATCTGCCTCTGCCTTCTGAGTGCTGGGATTAAAGGCGTGCACCATCACTGCCCAGCTCACAAACTTAATCTTAAGAGGATATTATTTTGCCAGGTGGTGGTGGTGCATGTCTTTAATCCCAGCACTCGGGAAGCAGAAGCAGAGGTGGATCTCTGTGAGTTTGAGGCCAGCCTGGTCTACAGAGTGAGTTCCAGGACAGTCAGGACTGCTTCACAGAGAAACCCTGTCTCAGAAAAAAAAAAAAAAGAGGGTATTATTTTACAAAGCAAGAGGCTTTAAAGATGTGACGGGGACAGGTAAGATTGCTCAGTGGGTTAAGGATACTTGCTGGGCAAGCATGGTTACTTGAGTTTGATCCCTGGAATCCATGTAAAGTTGGAAACAACCAATTCCTCTGATCTCTACATGCATGCTGTGCAAGCAAGCAAGTGCACACACACACTAAAAATTTTAAAAAGTAAAATTTAAAGATGTGATTGAGGATCTTAAGACATGAAGATTATACTGGATTACTTAAGGGAAACCAACAGAGTTAACAGATTTTTTTTATCAGGAGGAGGCAAGAGAAATTAGAAGAGGATGCGGTACCAACATTGAAGATGCAGGAAGAAGTCACAAGCCAAAGATAAAGATGCTTTTAGAAGCTTGGCAGAAGCACAAACAATTCCCATCTATACCCTCCAGGGCTCCCACCTTGTTGTCATAATTTTAGCACTGTAAAACTCAATTTCAGATTTTTGGCCTCTAAAATTATAAGATTAAAAAAATTATATTGTTTTTAGTGACTAAACTGTGGAGATTTGTTATAGCAGCAAACAGGAAACAAATGTATTCCGTATTGATTATAAATTAGTCTAAAGAACCAAGGTACACAACCATCTTTGTACATATATCTTGGATACATGTGCAAGACTTTCTCAAGGTGATAATCTCAGGTATAAAATTGCTCTAAGTACACATTCAGCTTTATAGGTGAACAGCAGGCTGACTTCCAAAGTTTTTACATTAGGTCAGTATCTCACCACCAACGATCAGGAGTTAATGTTGAGCCATGCCCTCCTGAATATTTAATATTAATCTACGGTTTAATTTTTACCAATCAAGAAAGCACAAAGAGGTATGAGGGAGTAGTGGATTTGTCCTAATGAGGTACTACATTCATTTCTTCCTAATTCTGAAGTTTAGAGATGCTTGTCATCTAAATGTAAATGCTGGAAAATAAAAAACTGGATATGGTGATCTAGAACTGAGGTTTCTTGTGTTCAATTATAAACCTGAGACTCAGGTATAGCTGGCTTTTTAAAAAATTATTTATTTATTTATTTACTTACTTACTTACTTTTTTGGGTACTTTGTCAGTATATACATCTGAACACCAGAAGAGGGCATCAGGCAATTGTGAGTTGCCATGTGGGTGCTGGGATTGAACTTAGGACCTTTGGAACAGCAGTGAGTGCTCATAACCACTGAGCCATCTCACCAGCCCATAGCTGGGTTTTCAAACCAAACATCCAGATAAGATGAACAAGACAGACACAAACCCTGAGGCTCAAATGACCTGTGATCAAGGGCAGAGGAGAAACAAGACAAGTGTTGTAAGATGGACTAGCCCACCACAGAGGAAGTCAACCAGGAAAGTTAGCATCCTGGACACCAAAAGAAGTAAGTACTTAAAAGAGGAAGGATTGAGCTGTGGGGAAAAAGTTCTGCTGACAGGTAAACCTCAGGTCTGAGAACTATTATAGTCTTAGCAACAAAGACCTTGGTAACCTTGACAAGAGAGAGCAGTTTCAGGGTAGTAGTCTGACTGTAATGAATAGGCTAAATAAAACAAGAAGAAGAAAATAGGCTAAACAGAACAGGAGCAATAAAAACAACTCAGGAATTTTTCTAGATTCAGAATTTAAAAAGGAGGAGGGGGTAGCTCAATCAGTCATGTGCTTGATGAGGACCAGAGTTCAATACCAAGAACCCAAGATCATAGGATGACAGTAACCACTCACTGCGGGAAGAAAAAAACTGAAGACCTGGAGAAATAGAAGACACGAAGGGAACCATACCCTTGAGTGGGAAAGAAGAAATGGCCCTAATATACATTATAAGAGCACAAATGACTCCCCCGTAGTTGTAACCAACACAGTCACAACAGCTGGCAGAGACCAGTAAATGGATCACTCCGTGGCAGTTCTCTTTTGTTAGGCATGGAGCTGACAGGGCAGAAGAGCAGATGATGAAGGATTAAGTTGAAAAATATGTAATTTAAATTTCTTCAGCTGGGTGTATTCATCTATTTAATCCATTTTTTGAGTTTCAAATTTTACTTTTTCTTTTTTAGTGCGCGCGCGCGCACACACACACACACACACACACACACACACACACACACACACACACACATGGGCGGGGGGGTGGGGGTGGGGGTGGGGGGTGGGGGGCAAGAGTCTCAAGTAGCTCAGGCTAAGAAGGAACCAGCTAGCCAGGTGGCAGTGGCACATGCCTTTAATCCCAGCACTTAAAGGGGAAGAGCCAGGCAGATCTCTGTGAGTTCAAGGCCAGCCTGGTCTACAGAGTGAGCTCCAGGACAGGCACCAAAACTACACAGAGAAACCCTGTAAAAAAGAAGGAATCAGCTACTTAACTGAGACTAACCTTGAATTTATGACCCTGCCTCCTACCTCTTGAGAGGGATTATAGGTGCATATCTCCACACTTGGTTTACATTTTACTTTGAAAACTTCAATTTCATTGTTTTTAATATTTTGATCACTCTTTTAAATCTGTTTTTTCATACTTCTATGTGTTTTTTTATTTGAATACATTAAAACTTATATTAAATTACTTATGTAAAAAATTTCAGAACCTGAAGTCACTTAATGTCTGTCGTGTTTCCACTATGGATGTTCCTCAACTTCCCATGAGAAACCTCCCCCAAAAAGCCCACTACAACAAAAATATCAAACGGAAATGCAGTCAAGACACACAACCTACCATACGTCATAGCTCAGAAACACAGGAGACAACCTGGGGGTACAAGTTGTTTACCCTTGTGTTGGCACAGCTGACGGAGAGCTGTGGCTTACTGTATCTGTTCAGCATTCAAGTGCACAGCTAGTCAGAGACAACAAAAATCAAAATATGAAGCAGTTCCTACCAAGCAGATAAACTTTCTAACATCTGTCAAGTTAAAAAAAAAAAAAACACTGTAAATCCAAGCATCTTAACACAGGGGCTATCTGTATCTGAGTATCTGATCACAGCATTCTCTTGCCTTGCAGTTTTGCGATTACTTTTTTTGGCACACTGCTAGCTGTTTATTCCACTGAACACTATCTCTGGAAAAAAAAAAAATCTTAAGTCCTTAAGCTGAAAATACTGTTTTCTAGGAGGAATAGGCATTTGCTTTCTCTGGTAACGTGGGTACATAAACCTGGGCTTGCTGCGAATTCAACTTCTGGCCGAAGCTTATCCTAGCACACGTGGGACAAACTTGGCCTGAAAAGGCACGTGAGGGCCGCTCACAGTCGCAGGGTCTCCACTGAGTTTTCATCCCTTTCTTCTAGCAAGTTCTTTTACTTTCACCTTACACCAAGGATGTAGCTCTCTGGGGTCCAGGCTTTGTGGTGGGGCCTTACATTCTTCCAGCTTAGGGAAGACACTGGTGTAAGTTCTTGCCAATTCCACCTCCACAAAGCTGGGAGACTAGAAGCTTGGTCTTCGGGTTTAAAAGAAACCCTCAGGGTAATGGAATAGTTACACACACTGAGTCCCACATTTCCAACTTCCATTTGTGAGGGAGCTGTGTGCTTCTTGATTTTTTTATGCCACTGCAGACAGGCATTTTAAAGGATTTCAAATACATCTGACTGAAATGCCTTTACAGGAAAACTGTATGTAACATGCCATGAATCATATTTGCATTTCATTTATAAGAAAATGGGGCATGAGATATACAAATGAACATCCTTTCACATGGTCAAAAATATTTTCCTGCTTTCAATATAGAAGGCAAAGTACCTATTTCCTTAAATGACCTTGATTTCTTATGAACAGAGGGGTTTTTCAAAAATTCTAATTTCTTCCTTTTATCTTTACTGTTGTTTTTTTTCTTTCTACCAAGTTTAGGATACATGAGAAGTTTAAAAAAAAAATACTGTCTTAGTTCCACTTTCTGATTTTCTGGTCTCTGCTTCTCTATTCTCTGAAGCAAGCATGCCAATTTGTAAATACTATGTGGAGCAGAAGGAACTACATCAGGGCCCCAGTTTAAGTCACTTAACAAGTCAATTAAGCTCTCTGAACTTCATTTACCACAGCCTTACATTTGAGATATGTACCAAACAAAATATATAATTAAGCATGTTACAGGTTAAGGTGCAATCTAAAAATGTTATTAAAGACTATATTAGAAAGTATCACTGGGAAACAAAATATACATACACTTCTATAGCCTGTTTAGCACGGCGATACTTTGAAATACACAAATAGCACAAATACTTTGAAATATTTAATTGTTGAACTATATATATATTCATTTGTATATAAGGAAATAGAATTACAGCTGCATTATAAACCACTAATAAGTATGATTATTGGTAGCTGGAGAAACCTTAAGTGAAGCTTCTAGACTGGTGATAAAGTATGCAATTAATATATGACATATATTAAGCAAGAAAATGAGAAATCAGACTTTATGAAAACATCTAAATGTAAATTCCACTCAAACCAAACAAAACTAGTAACTAGAAAATAATTTTGCCATTGACAGCCTGGGAAATTTATTTTTGCTAAGTCTAGTAAATATATCCAGAATTCTATCATAGTGTTTTCCAAGCCAGGCTAAGATGCAGTGGGGGCGGAGGGGTAGGGGAACAAAACTGCATTACAGATACTTGCAAGGCTTGTTTAAAATGCTAATTCCTTGCTCAGTTCCAGATGGACTCAGAATATATCGAAGGGGGTCAGAGAACCTCCACGTTCAACAAAGCGTTTCTTTTCCTTTCCTTCCTTTTCCTCTGCTTGACTCATTGTTTAGTTTTTTTGAGAGAGGGTCTTTCTATGCAGTCCTAGCTAGCCTGGAACTTGGCATGTAGACCAGGCTAGGGTCCAACCTGTGGCAATTCTCCTGGTTTTTTTTTTTTTTTTTTTTTTTTGCCTCCTGAGTGCTGGGGTTACAGGTGTGTACCACTGTTCCCAGATGTTGCTTCTATTTTTATCAAATTATTCATTTAAAGAGCACTCACATAAACACGAACAGAATATTCAAGCATTCTAGGATTTAGTGCTGGGCATTATAACATCAAGAACGAAGTCGGAAAAACATGTTTACACGGTTACCCTCATAGTTACCATCATTTTTTTTCTTAGCAATGAGCGTTAATTGCTTCAAACTGCATGCCCCCTCATTACCAGGCCATCTGAGACACTTTTGTTTTGCTCCGTTTTGGCTCTTTGAGCTAACACTTTGCAGCAGGTGCAGACAAGATGCAGCAGCATCTGGCAACCTAGTCAAATCTCACTCACCTAAAAAAGCAACAAACCTATCTCTCTTCAAGACAAGAGGCTGTGATCAGCTAACCCTTGGTTTTCTAGCATATAGAGAACGGTACAGTAATACCTGCCTCATCGAGGCAACCCCAAAGTCCATCGGACTCTCCAGCCAGCAAGCCTCACTATAGACTTAGAGGCCCACAGTCAGGGCCCAGACCCTCCAAATGTCGTTAAGTGGGCTCACCTGGCGATGCCACTTTGCATACGTAGGACAGGTGGGTAATAAAGTGGGTAAAGCCTGACAATCTCTAGTACACAAGTTCAAGGAAGTGAAGTCCTGTCCCCCTCTAGTCCTCTCAGGAAGAGGGTGGAGAGCCTGTCATCCCCAGAGGGAAAGGTGTCCGAGGTTTCTATCCCCCTCTTGCACAAGACACCGCGGTGGTTTTTCTTCTCCCCGTCACCATCACAGTGATAAAGCCGCTAGCGCTTACTGGCCGTCACCATCTTCCTCTTCCGTCTGCCTCCGCCACGCGTGTCGCGTCCCCGCGCCAGCCGCGCTTTACAGACGTTTCCCCGCACTAGCCGGTGCGGTTCTCCCCGTCCCTGGCCGGCCCCTCGCACCTGCACCTCGGCCTCTCGGCGACGCCGGCGCGGCCCGTGCCCCCCGCCGCCCGCCCCTCGGTCTTACCTGGGTCTTGACCAGACTTGGGAGGAAGCTCAGGGTGACCAGCAATTGCACTGCGGCCGCCGCCCCCTGCCCGGCGACGGCCCGGCGGAACCCCGGACTCATGGTGACCTCGGCCGCTCAGAGCTGGGGAAAGGCGGGCCGCTGCGACGACTACGCCCGGCGGCAGTGCCCGGGAACCGGGAGCCTCCAGGACCCGAGGTCTGCGCGCCGGCCTCAGGACGGGAAGACTCTACCGTTCCCAGCCGCGGCGACTGATGTACCAGTGCTGCGCGCCCCCGCTTCATCCCAGGAGGCCCCGCCCCCGGCGTCCTCAGTTGTGATCACGCCCTCTGTGCAAAGCCTTCTGGGAGTTGTAGTCCCGACATCCCCTTGAGGCCCCCCCACAACGGGAAGGCCTTGAAAATGGAGAACTACAGGCTCGGAGGTCGCTCTGCCTCCCTGAGGCGGGGCTCCGCGGCGGCCAATGAGGCGGGACCACGAGGGCTCCAAAACACCCAAGAACGGGCGGGAGACTTGGTACTGTTTTAGGGGTTGGCGGTGGCGGCGAAGCCTGGGAATCGTCGCTCTGGGAAACGAGGCTGGGGGGCCCCCCGCATGGCTTCTGGCTTTGTGCTGGTTGCTCCTTGTCATCGCCTGTCCTTTTGGAGCCAAGACATTCTCAACAGGCGAGAGCTTTAACCTGCTGTCCCAAGAGCTTTCTTTTGCCTCTTTTCTCACCTCTGCAGTTACCTAAAACCACCTGGCATCTTGTCAAGGTGGCTTCAGCACCTCCTTCAAGTCACACGCCCCAGAAGTGAATGCCGTTGCTTGGTGTCTCCCCTACGCCTCTACCAACACCGAAAAAAAATCTATAATGCACTTTAAAGCATAAAGATAAACTCAAACTTACACAGCGAAAAAGAAGAATCGGGATAAAGGCACAGAAAAACTTGAAGCGACCTGGGCTGTCCCAGATTTAACACATTCTAGTTATAAGCATTGTGGCTCGGATGGGAAGGTATCCTGGCAGTCGGGAGCCAAGGAATACCACAAAGTCAGTTTCGTGATCTTAATTACACCTCAAATATTGTCCTAGGACTATTAAGATTATGTACATAGGCTTCCTGTAGTGCCTAGCAAATAGAAAGTATTCAATAAATGGTAACCGCTAGCTTTATCAATATTCCTGAGTTGTAGGAAATACGTTCGGTAGTGTGTATTAATTTGTCATTGTTGATGTAACAAATGACCACAAATTTAGTGGTTGAAAACCAACCTAATGTATTATCTTATATTCTGGAAGCCAGGAGTCCAAAATGAATCTGCAGTACTGCATTCATTTGGAGTATTCTAGAGAACAATGTTTCCTTGCTTTTTCCAGCTCTAGAATCACTTGCATTTCTAGACCTAGGACCTCACGTGACACAGTGTCATAATCTGCTTCTGTTGCCATGTGTTTTCTGGCCCTCTGTCTCTTGTTCCCCTGCATATAAAAACCTGTGATTACATGGGGCTTAACCAGATAATCCAGGCAATTTCTTTATCTTAAAATCCTTAGTCACATCTTCAAAGACTCTTTTTCCATCTCACATCTACAGATTAGGACAGGGACATCCGTGAGTGCCCACTAATCAACCCAGCAGTGCGTTATATTTTTCAAAGAGCATTCACACACATCATTCCGCTGGACCTACTGCATAATCCGTAGGGTCAGCTAGAAATGAAAAGTCAAGGACTCTTTTCAAAAATGTGAGGAATTTCAAGACAGAGACAGCAGAGCAATAAACCAAATGCAAGGCCCTGCAAGACTCTGCAAGTCTTCTCACGAAGCCAGCTCCCTTTGTCCTTTTCTTCTCCTCATTTCTGTTGCTTCCACTCTGGACTAGGCCTTCTTTCCCTACACAACCAACAGAGAACTTGAACTTGCTTCTCAAAGCTGCCTTTCCGTGTGCCTCATTTCTTTGTGCTTTGGATATGCAGGGGGCTTTCTCGGAGCCCCTCTGTGCTTCATTTGGCCCTGATAACACATATGTCATGGGACAAGGCCATAAAATTTTATTAGTTACAAACTGTACTATTTTTTTATTTATTGTTTATTTATTTTGGCTTTTCAAGACAGTGTCTCTGTGTAGCCCTGATTGTCCTGGAGCTCACTCTGTAGACCGGGTTGGCCTCAAACTCAGAAATCCACCTGCCTCTGCCTCCAAAGTGCTGGGACTAAGGGCATGCACCACCACCACCCGGCATAAACTGTCCTATTTTTAAATCTTAAAGTTTTTAATATCTGGTATCAAGGGCAGAACACATGCTTGACATTCAGAACACTTCAGGGTCTGTCACTGAATAAAAACTTGAGTGATCAGTTGATAGGAGGGAAAAAGTTTGCATGTGGCACACAGTGTTTTTCACCTCAGAAACTCAACTCACAACGTTTGGAAACAATTCCTCCCCCTTGGTGAGTGTAATCAGAAGTAGGTGTTTTTCATGAGAAAGGTACCGAGGCTCGTGCTGTCCTGTGCTGTGATCTGCTGTAGTGTTTACTGTAATGGGCAGTGTGAGGGAATCGGGAGTTGATGAGCAAACCGCCTTCCACAGTTTTAGCCTTGCTGTTTACTTCTGCTTTCCTGAAAAGCAACTACATTACAACCAGCATTAGGGCAGGCATTGCCTCTATGAGGCCAACCATGCTTCCTACCTATGATCCTCAGTTTCAAACTTCCCATCCCAAGGAGTGGGTTGCAAGTTGAAACAAGGAAGGCCAAACCACATCCCTTTAATGACAAGCTATTGGAAAAATTCAGATCCAGCTGAATTTAAAAAGAACAAGAAAAATAACAATAAGTATAAAAAAATGACAACTCGTGGGACTGAACAAGGCTTCGTCACATACAGCTCTGGAAAGGTGAGTCCATCGGGGTGTAATTCAGGGACCAAGAGGAGCAGGGACTATTGGCTAGTCTTTTCCAGAATGTTACCATTGTACTGACTTGTTTCCAGTTACTTTCCATCATTTACTCTCCCATCCAAATTCCTCGAATTTAGCTGAGAGAGGGCGTTCTGGCTGGTTTTGTGTGTCAACTTGACACAAGCTAGAGTCATCAGAGAAGCAGCAGCCTGAGTTGAGAAAAAGCCTCCATGAGATCTATCTGTAAGGCATTTTCTCAATTAGTGATCAACGGGGGATGGCCCATCCCATAGTGGGCGGTGCCATCCCTGGGCTGGTGGTCCTGGGTTCTATAAGAAAGCAGGCTGAGCAAGCTAGCGGAACAAAGGCAGTAAGCAGCACTGCTCCATGGCCTCTGCATCATCTCCTGCCTCCGGGTTCCTGCCCTGTTTAAGTTCCTGTCCCTACTTCCCCAGTCTGAAAGTATAAGCCAAATAAGCTCTTTCCTCCCCACCTTGGTCTTCGGTCATAGTGTTTCATTGCAGCAATAGAAACCCTAACTAAGACAGAGAGAGGGGAGGAGCGAGAGGAGACAGAAACAGATAGCACAAAACTACTGACAACCCTACAGAACTACAAAGAATGGGAAGAGAGGGTAGGTACACAGATGCATGGCGAGACCCACTCCCTCCCGTCATTAGTAATTCCAGGGAAAGAGTGTCATACAAATTCACTTTTTTCTTTATGGTAGTGGAGATTGAACCTCACACATGCTAGTCAAATACTGTACTGCTGAGTCATATCTCCAGTCTCCTCTCTCTCTCTCTCTCTCTCTCTCTCTCTCTCTCTCTCTCTCTCTCTCTCTTTGACTGGGCAATAGTGGCACACACCTTTAACCCCAGCACCTGGGAGGCAGAGGCAAGTGGATCAGGACAGCCAGCGCTGTTACACAGTAAGACCATGTCTCGAAAAACAAACAAAAAATTTATTTGTATTTACATGTACGTGTATGTGCCTGCTTTTTGTGCACATTGTGCATGCAGTGCCTGCAGAGGACAGAATAAGGTATCAGAGCCCCTGGAACTGGAGTTACAGGAGGTTGGGAACTGCCTGATATGGATGCTTGGGACAGAACTGGGGTCTTCTGCAGGAGCAGCAAGTGCTCATAACCAAGGAGCTACCTCTCCAACTCCCATATTTTTTTAATCCTGCTAAGTTGCCTAGAGAGGCCATGGAATTTTGATTCTCCTGCCTCAAGCCCCCTGAGAAGCTAGAATCACAGCCTTTGCCACCAGGCCTGGCTTTCAATTCACTTCTCTTTACCTTGGCTTGCATTCATACATTCATTAAGTTATCTCACACGTCCTGGGCTGTGGGTACACTGAAAGACATACATCAGGACACCGGCCAGCCAAACACAGCAGTAATATGTTCTTGCGAATAATGTAATTTATTATTTACAGACCTCCTGGCTTAGACAAGCCTAATTACCTGGAATTAAGCTGCAGGAAAATGATTTTTTTTAAGTGGAAAAAGTATATGAGCCTCCCAGATCAATTCTGGGAAGAGTGAGGACCAGCTTTGTCAATTAGTACAACTCCTTCAGGGCAAACAGAGATGATTTCTCATTGATGTGGTTGGGATAGATTCTGGTTAACTCTGTGGGAGAATCAATCTTAGTACAGATGATGTATTACTTTTCTCATTGCTATGACCAAATACCCAACAAGAAGCAACAAGGGGGAACAGGAGAGTCCATCATGGGGCTAGGAAGGTACCCGGAAGCAGGGGAGCATGAGGCTGCATGCTCATATCTCGGTGGGCTAGGAAACAAATCAGGCTGTAAACCTTATGCTGACCCATTGCCCACACACACACACACACACACACACACACACACACACACACACACAGAGATACACACACACACACACCAGAAACTGATTTCCTCAAGTCAGGTCCCGCTTCGAAAGTGCTCACAACCTCCCAAAACAGTGCTACCAGCTGGCCAAGGATTCAAATACAGGAGCCTCTGGGGACATTTTATATCCAAATTATGACAGATGGTAAGCCATGATTTTATTTCCTGTAACTCTCAAAGGAGCCTAACCCAAATGAACACAAGTGACCTGAGTGTGTTTCACCTTTTTGAACGGATCTTGTGAATGGCACTTAACCCTTGAGCCATCTCTCCAGCCCTTTGCTTGTTTTATCTTGCTAAGTTTCCCAGTTGGGCCTTGCCATTTTGACCCTCCTTCCTGGGCCTTCTGAGTAGCTGGGATCATAGGCCTCTGCCACAAAGCCTGGTTTTCAGATTCACTCTTTGTGGGGGGGCTGGGAGATGGTTCAGTTGGCAAAGTGTCGGCCATGCAAGCATGAAGATT